TTCGATAACTCCGTCCAGAAATTGGTCATCGTCTTCTTCCATCTGCGAAATGTGAGAAAAATGAATTAAAAAGTGAATTGAAGCGGACCTCATCCCAGTGGTGGGCGTTTGGATCAAGGTGAACACCTCGAAATGCATCAGCTTCTTCTAGTGTCACACTTTTTGAATGAGGAGCATCAGGAGGCTTCTGTGATTCAGTAACCTTGGGTGATGGTCGGCCTAAAGAAGGTAGATCAATTCACGAACTGCACCTACAAAATTTGCAACGTACCATGAGCAACTTCGGCAGCTGTAGGAAAGTCTGAGGGACCTGCACTGTCCGGCAACAGGACTGGTGCCACGACTTTCGGATGCCCCCAAGCTGGTTTAGACGGAGTGTCCTTCTTCCCTGTGGTGGACGAAGTCGATACGATAGCTCGTGGTTGTGGCTGAATGACTTTGCCAGCGACGGGGAGCTGCGGGGCAGCTGGAATGGAAACGGGCGCTGGTGCAGCGGTATGCGGAAGGGGTTGCGGAGGAGGTCCATTGGATGAAGTTGACGGTGTTGAAGAGACTGGAGGTGCCGCGGATGGTGGACGCGACCAACCTGGACCGGTTGTGGTTGATAAAACAGGCGCCGCTGTGAGCTTGGTGGTCACGAGCCGTGAATGCGTGCTTATTGGTGGAGCTACAGGTCGGACGGCTACAGGATGTTATATTGTAACTATTATTATAAAACACAATATTGAACTTACGAGCTGGACTGCCAGACTTGACGACAGGTACGTGGTTCGATGACGTGGTAGCAGACCCTGAGGAGCACGAGTTCTTCAGTAGGAACTTCTTGTTGATGTTGACAGAAGTGAATTTCTTTGGATGTGGGGCAGCTAATGATGAATCTGAAGCAGGAAGAGCCAGTTGAGTGCGAGATTGAGTTGATGAGTTCGTGGGTGAGATCAATGGAGGTGAATTTGAAGTCTTGAGAGCGCAAGCTGCGACTACTGAATGTTCTTCAGATACATTGGATGAACTCAACAGCACATTAATAGGTTCCTCTTCTGCATGATTTTCAGTTAGCCCCGTGTTTGAGTTGTCGATATTAGCCATATACGCGTCCCAAGACGCCGATAGTCAGTTTTCTGTGCCTAGGGAGATTATAGCAAGAGCCGAGAAGGAAATCAAATAAAAAATACACGACAATGAGTTAAACGTTGAAAATAACACGGTTAAATTCTTATTGACTTGCCTACAAGCTTTATAGAGTAGACAAACGAGATTTTCGTTGTCGTCGACGAGCAGAAATATCCGAGTCAAACGAGGGCAGAGTGCAACGTTGAGCGGCGGTTAGCCTATTTCGGTTAACTACTAATAAGCTACAAGATGTAATTACATGCTAGCGAGCTCAGCCTCTTTTTTATTCAGTCGGTCGACTTCTGCATCAAGAGCTACATTTGCCATCTCAATCTGAAGGATGCTCGATATCAACTCTGTCCATTTGTTCTCCAACGATGTCAACTGGTTTCCAATTCGTGTCTTCAAACAAGTATGAATACAACTACTCTCCTGATCAAGACGAAACATACCTGAGAGTTCTTGCGTTCTCGGTTAATGTCTGTGGTGCGCTGCTTCAATTCCTCGAGCGCTGTCTCTGCTTGCTTGGCTGTCGCTTCTAACAAGTAATTGTGAATTCTCCAAGCATTGGGTCCATATGTCTGTAGCAGCGCGAGATTTGTGTGCCTTTGAGAGACCGTTAACTCAAGGTATTCAAAGGACAATCGAAAACCTACCGAATGCGCTGGTGTTCTAGTTGAGACTGTGCATTCTTCAACGCTTGCTGCCACTCCTCATCTGTGCCTGGGGTAGACGTCGGTGCTGGAAGTTGATATCTTATGGTATCCAAAGGTGCTAAAGGTTGATGAGCCTCGACGCGTGCAAGCTCAGCAGCAAGTCCAGGTTTGTCCTACACCATATCAGGTCTATGAACAATTAAAAGGTAGCTTTAATATACCTTGAAGAGTTCTATTGGAGGGGAAACGCGAGGATGCAGAGTCTGCAGTGGTTTTGGCTCGCGTGCTAGTTCGCGCTCGACTTTTTCCCTCAATATTGGATTTTTCTCGAGATCATTGTCATAGTAAGGTAATGAATCGAATATTTCTGTTCTGTGAGCGTCGTTGTCGATGAGTGAAGCCATGGTCTACTTGACGTCGGTGCCGGTCACGATTCGGATCGGAGTGTGAATTTACCGTTGCTCTAACTCGTCTGGACTCACTGAACCGGTAGCCAGCAAACATGTCGTTCCGCACGGGTCTGCGGGTCACAAATCTACTTAAAAGTTCGTCGAAGAGACCAACGAGGACCGTTGGCGTCGCTTTGACGCGAAAAATCCAGTCATCATCGTCGTCTAGAGGTAAGCCATGCCTGTCCTCATCGCCGATGACTGTCTTGACAACTTTCTAGCCTCCGTTTCGCCATTCACCGAGCCTACGTCTCCAAATCCTACAGCTACCAAGTATGCTGAGACAACCGAGTCATTACACACATATGGATCATACCTCATGCAATGTCTCCCCAAATTTGTCCAGCAGTTCTCCGTGTTAAAGGATGAGCTCACTTTGCACATCTCCCCATCTGGCGTCATCCCTGTTTTGACTTTCCTTCGAGATCACTCGCAGTGTCAGTTCAAAAGTGTCGTGGATATCACCGCTGTTGATTTCCCAGAACGAGAGAAACGCTTTGAGGTGGTTTACAACTTGTTGAGCATCAAGCATGCGGCGAGGATTCGCGTCAAGACCTATGCTGGTGAAGCAGACCCTGTACCTAGCAGTGTTTCTGTCTTCAGTGGAGCAGACTGGTATGAACGGGAGACGTGGGACATGTTTGGTGTCTTCTTTACTGGTCACCCTGACCTGTATGTCGTGTTCTATATCCCTATGGACCGGTGTATTGACCTTCTATTTACAGGCGTCGCATACTGACAGACTATGGTAAGTTTTCTTAGAAGCCATAACTCGCACTTGTCATAGATTTTGTCTAGGCTTCGAGGGTCATCCCCTCCGAAAGGATTTCCCATTGTCGGTGCGTAGTTGCCACTACAAACCGCTAGTTGTAATGATTTAATTATCATTTTAGGGCTACACCGAAGTCCGTTACGACGAAGAGAGGAAACGCGTCGTCTATGAACCTCTGCAATTGACACAGGCTTTCCGGTCAGTCAAAAATGCATCTCTCGATTCCTGCGTTTTACTAATTACCTGATCATATAGCAACTTTGAGTCTTTGTCACCCTGGGAACAAGTTGGGCAAGGGACAGAGCCCATCAGGCCCACAGAACTTAAGCCTGTTCCTCCACCTCAACCTGAACAGCCTACAAATAAGTAGATGCTACTACGTTATTGATTGATATACATGCACAAACATTCCTATCCTTTGAGTGCAGTCGTCGTAAGGTAAGACATAAGTGGGCAACAACATGTGAGTGGAGAAGCACATCAAGGGGGTGATTCAGAGGGCATTTCTTGAGTTGTAGTGAGCTCAGCTGCCTTCTTGCCCCATCCCATCCGTGCGACAATGTAGTCCTGCCCAATCACTTCAATGCCCACCCGGAGAGATTCAGCTACAAGATCTTCCACCCAGTCGTAATCATCCCAGATCTGCAACCAATTACCAGGTACAGCCTGTGTTATAGTCGTGTGCACCAACTTATGCCCGGGATCAGACAGATGCAACAGGAACTGGAGGTTAGACTGCTCGGACGCTTCTGCAGACTCCTCTGAAGTATCAACGGGCTGAGGAAGGGTGAAGAATGTGAGGAATGGCTGGATGCGAAGGTAGACAGAGGAGTATGTAACAGGATTCTGAATGGATGACTCTTTGGGTGGTGCTTTGGAATTGGTCTTGATGAATTCATCTATATTTGCCTTGGCGGAAAAGTGAATCTTACGTGCACATTTCTTGGCATTGGCCCCTTACCTGCGCGAGCTTTATAGCAGCATCGTACCCATCTACTGAATTGAAATCTCGAGGAGTCCCCGCTGCAGATTCCTTTGGTTTTGATTCGACACCTCGGTTGATAATCAAATCGCCACCCTCAACCTGTTCCATGACCTATGCAACAACGTCAGCTCGGTGGACACCCGTAATGTCTTGGTGCTTACCCTAGCGAGTGACCGATATACAAGCGATTCGACGCCATCATATCCTTTCATATCATGACTGAGCCATACTTGAATAACCTCGTGCTCAGATATCGGAGGAGCAACTACATTCAGAATGTCTGTCAATGTAGACAGTCCGACTTTCTTGAAATCTTGACCTAGAGGGTACAAATTAACTGGCTTTGAATCAGCTGGTCACACGCAGACGAACCGAGTTTGTCAAGCTGCGCAGTCTTTGCGTACTCCAGGACTCCCTCTCCCAACTTACTGATGTGTTCATTCTTGGGCAGGTTCTTGACCTGCTCGTCTACTACCGTCCTTGCTTGTTGGTAAACAGTATTTGCACTGGTCCATACGCTGCCCCATCCCCACCGACTTGGGGAGGCCGATGCAGCTTCAGCTTCAGCCTTGGCAGCAGGAGCTGATGATGGTTCTGGCTTTGCTACGAGAGAAGAGGTTGAAGAGGACGGATGAGCACCGACTTTGACTCGTTCAGTGCTCTTCCTCAGTGATGGGGTTCCCGGACGCGAAGCATGTCGTTCTATGTGTGATGTCGTGGAGCGAGTTGGCTCTGAGCTCTTCTGAGTTATCTCATCAATGAATGCGAGAACATCCGCTGGGTCTCCTGCGCCGTCCGTATTAGCAGCAGGTCCACGCGTCGTTGGTGCAACTGGATTAAGGGAATCAAGATCATCGAGAAATTGAAGAGCCTCTTCTTGCTTTGACTTTGATTTAGAGGCCATCGTACGTCGTAGTGCGATTCAAGCAAGTGGGAAGGACCCCAAACTTGGAAAGCGGAGTCTAAGAGCGCGCTTAAGTCGAATGTATCAAATAAACTTGTCTACATTCGTCCACTATTCCCTTTGTATGGGTCGTAAGAAGAAAGTCGAGCAGGAGGTATACCACGTCGGTGCGAGCTCAGTTCTTCATCGCTATCACTATTCACATGCTTGCTGGTAGAGGTCATCACCAAAGCTCGCGTCAGTGAGGAAGGAGACTGGGTAAGCGTATATCATTGCGCTTCGAACAAAGATCTGACCGCTCCGGATCGTCTAGGAATATCATGTCAAAGTGAGTTCTTATCCGCGTTTGATTGCGTCCCCTAATGATTCATAGTGGGCAGGCTATGACTCTGATGCAGACACGTCAGATCTATCTCCCTTTCATTGCTCACAAACTCATTCTCCAATGTGATATGCAGTTGGGAGCCAGCACCAAACTTGAGCAAATGCGAACGGCTCTTGTGCAGCTTTTGGGACCATATTGGTATCGACGACAATGATTATTCCGTGGGATACGAGATTACGGCGAATGATGATTGGATAAGTGAGACTGGGCTGACCTTTTGCTTGGTGGCTCAACTGACTTTGTATGAAGAGAAAGAGAAAGAGTTCTTCGCGACGCAGTTCTCAGAAGAAGCAAAGGATACAAAGAAACAACCTATCAAGCAGGTGAGTTTACCCGATGATACTCATTATACTGTCTTACACATTTTATATAAAAGACAGTGAAGACCTCAGAGCCAAAGCAAGTCGAGAACGATACTGACATGCTGAACGAGTCCGATCCGGTCGCGAAGCTGTTGGCCCCGCGAGCGAGAAAGCGTAACAATACACTCATTAGTTCAGATGTTTGCCATTTTTTTTGCTTATCATCGTGCTGCGAAGCTTAGACAACAGTAGTCAGACTCTGATTCATCGGAGGATCGTCCATTGAAACAGAGGCGGAAACTTACTCACTCGAAGTCCCGGAGCACTACAGCAGACAAGGTTCCGTGATATTTGCCGTCTCTTTTCATTCTAACGTCAGTGTTTTCCACAGGAACGCTCATCAGCAGCCTCGGCCTCTAGTACATTCGCCGAACATCCATCTCGTCCCCTTCCACCACCACCAAGGCCATCGACGTCTTCTGCCACACCATCACTGAACGTACCTCGCCCACCCAAAATACAGCCCGTTCGGACTCACCAAGATCAAAGGACCAACCCTCTCGTCAAGGCTATGGATCTTCCCTCGAAGGCGGTTCAATCTGGGAGTACTCTGTCAACGAAGCAACGTATAGCAGCGGGATCAGGTCCTTCTGTAGCACCCAAACCAAAGCCACTGCAGACAGTTCCGAAACTACTGACCGGTTTGTCGTTCAAAAAGAAACCCCTTGAAACAAAAGATCCTTCGTCCGCAACTAGTTCGTCCTTCCAGAAACCTTTCGAGAATGAGCCTTTATCAGCGAGTGGCATGCAACCATCTGGTCCATCCACTAAAGAGCCTTCATCCACAACTGGTTCCTCCAAGAGGCATTTCGAGAAAGAACCTTTTTCGGCGGCTGACGTGGAACCATCTGGTCCGTCCATAACGAGTATGGAGGCTGGTCCTTCCATCACAACACCTGTTGGGGTTGGCCCGTCTTCAGCCACGACGCAGATGATAGAAGAGCCCTCTGCCATTGTTTCCAGCTGGGAATATAATACAGAGGTATTTGAGGCTGCAGATGATAACCCTCCCCCTCCCTCACCTGCACCTCTGTAAGTGCGCTCGAGCGTCATCAGACATTCATTTGATGGCCTTTTAGTATTCAGCATCAACTCGCAAATCCAGCTCTCCCTAAGCGAGCCTCTGAAAAGGCTGCAGACGAGTTTCTTCAAAGTCTTAGCCTTAATATGCCAGGGTATGTATCTTAGGTTGCTCATATTTGTTTGCGCTCACGACATGCATGCCAAGTCTCAGTAGCCCTTTGTGAGTCTTGTTTCACTGATTTCAGTCACTCAATGCTCATGACAACGTCCAGGGAACCTTCAGTGAGCGATGGTGCCCATGATGTCAATTCCTTCCGACCAAAGGCTTTAACAACGATGAAGCCTTCTGCGATGTCAAAGTTTGTGGTATTCACTCGTGAATATGAAAGTGTTTTAATCTTCGAATAGGATTCCCAAAAAGTGGAAATGGGAGGGTGATCTATTTGTCGACTTTGCTAAGAACCAAGCCGAGAAAGTTTGTGAAGTGACGATCAAGGACGCGACTGATTCACGCGATAACGGTGCTCGCATGAGCTTCATGATGGCGCAAACCGATTCCATCCGTATCCAAAAACTTTACAATGTTACAGATCTTACACCGGTCTTTCGCGCCTGTGGAGAGGCTCAGCAATTCGCCAAACTTGAAGCCTTGGAAAATCAAGATAGTCAAGCACTGCACGGACTGTTTCGTTACATGTCAGTTCAGCGACATGTGAGTCTTATTTTTCTGTTGATGGTCTATGCTGACAGAAGATAAAGGTTGCTGTTCTCCCGCTGTCGTTGGATGGCGCAGAACTCGCTCTTCTCTTCATTTTCAGCCCGTCATTGGATGCCCTTTGTAGGTTTTTGCGTGTACCAGAGCACCTACGACAAAATTCGCAGAACACCCATTTGTTGGTAGCCCTGTTGCCATGGCTTGTCTCGTCTGCCAAATACATCAAAGGAACGACGCGTAACCAGGTCGATAAAACCATACATCAGCTATCGACTCCGAGTGGTCAATCGAAAGACAGCCGTCGTCGCATATTGAGAGAGGCTGCCATGGCTATCGATCTGCTTTCAATTCCACGGGAGCTCTTGGATTTCATGCAGTATTCGAACAGGAAATATTGCATCTGGTCCTTCCCGGCCGATGGAGCAGCCTTGAATCCTGGCCTTGAGACTCGACAACTTAAATACGTACTAGACAAGACCAAAGCTGTGTCAGTTAGCCTTGATGCGGAAGCTCGAGTAATATTCATACATGTCGGAGCCCTCAAGACTTTTTACGAGCTTTCTGCTGTGGTCACTAAGCGGCGCGACGCTCCTGAAGTTCGCTTTTTCACCTACGGCACACATGAGTCTGTTCCATCCAGCAGGTGGGGCATGCGCGAGATTTTCCCTTTGGGTGAGTATTTGCAAAGCAGGACGATTGGTGTCACTGACAATCTTCAAAGGTGGTATTGTCACCTTCACGCCTCTGGCTATCGCCGAAGATCCTGTTGGATGTCACAGTTTGATGCGTAACCTCGCGCAGCATCCACTTTGGGATTGTTACCTGATACCTTCGATCGTGGGTCTGAGCCATGCCCTGGCGTGCGGCAAGGATAAACCAGTTCCAGGAACTATGAGGTCAGTGATGCTCCAGTACAATGGTCCTTGAACTCAGACGTATACAAGTATGGACTCGTGTCTTCTTCCCATTCTGGACCTGGTAGACGCAGGCAGCATCTCTGTCATGAAAGCGCCTACCAAACATAATGATGACGCCTGGATTGCTGACACCTTTGAACAGCAACTGTTGGAAGTAGAAGATGTGCTGCGAGAGTGCGTCAAAAGCTCGGTGGAACGCTTCGCTTACTGCAGCGAGTCCGACATCCTGATTGAAGCGGACCGGGAGATCTCTCAGGATCTCGTCAATATGGAACTGCAGCCTACGTTCATGGACAATTACCGACGATTTGTGGTTATCAGAGCTGCATCCGAGGAGATTCGCAGCCTCCCTGAAGGCGGATCGGGGGTATGTAGTGTGGTTTATCCATCAGTGGTGTCTGCTGACTTGACTTGTAGCTCGAGTGGTCTTCGGTATCAACTTTTGTATTTAAAGATGATTACTTCCTTGGATCATAGATTTTAGTCGTGTCGTTATGTACCATAGTATAGTCATGTAGTCAGTTTCTTCCAAGTTCAATTGTATAGTGCGAATCTCAGTTTACATGTGATTGCACCGCCCGGTCCGCACTAGGCGTTTCACCCAAGTGGAATGAATCCTTGCCGATGCCTCTAGCTGGCACACCATGTCCAGCATTACCCAGTGGCTGTCAGACCCCCGCATGCACGACTACCTTGCCATCGTAAAAGGAGCACGTAATGGCTTTGTGTACGGAGTCAAAGTCAGATTCCCTCACGCGTTGATCATGGCCATTCTTTTTGGTCGAGGAGAGTACGTCTATTCTCTGCATCCAGAGTCGTTTTCATCGCTGAACCACTATCCTGTAGCTGGAAATCTCGCCTTCTTGTTATATACAAAGCAACCAAGCAGCACGCCTTCAATCTAGCAAAGTTCGTTTCACTCTACAAGACACTGTTGCTACTTCAACGAAAGGCAAACGGAGGGAAACAACGCGGCGGAGATACATTCATAGCTGGCTTGTTGGGAGGGTACGTAGTCTTCGGCGATCGATCGGCCGTTAACGAACAGGTACTTTCAATGAGCTCTTGTCAGTGCTAGTCCTGTTTAACTTATCAGTGGTTTTCCATTTTAGATAGTCCTTTACGTGGTATCCCGAGTCATTGCTTCGTTCATGCCACGGGCGGGTAATCCGTATTCGAAAGCGCCTGGAGGTGCTTCTGGATCTGTAGTGAAACCTATCCCGCCAGACCCGCGGTATTTCTCCGTCTTCGCGGCTCTATCATGGGGTGCCGTCATGTGGTTGTTCCAGCACCGCGGAGAAGCTATCCAACCTGGCATGTTCAACTCGATGACATACCTTTACCGTGACTCGGAAGTATGGACTGATCTTAGAACATTGTTATGGCATAATACATAGAGAGGGTAATAGATTTTAACGGTGAGTGCACTCGTTTACGCATGCGCGTACTATCTTATGTGTCATCCATTAGATTGTATAGAGCCAGGGACATAATCTACGGTTCTTGGCACTCTCCGACATTTGTACTGCGCAGCATTCTTAAAAGTTAGAGTTGTCCGATGTGAGAAGCTTTTGATTCGTACCTGAAGCATATCTACAGCAGCTGTCAAAGCTTTGTGACACAGGGGACAAGAGGGAAGCTGGGCAGCCAAGTCATGCATCTCCTCAGCTATATCAGTAGCTGTATTTCATCGGTCAGTAAGTGGGATTGGGAGCACATGATTGCACACCTGCTTCGATTCGGGTGGCCAGGTACACCCGCTTCTGTTCCCAGAGCTGAGTGGCCCACTGCTTGTGCACAGGGCAAGTGCCATATCCGTGCGGAAATATATCCTCATTTAGCAGGATATCTCGTAGTTTATATTTCCGGTATTCATGGAGCCTCAGAAGCTCATGGTATGCGGTGACAGTGGGAATAATTTGTATGTCCTCTTTGGTGTACGACGATAATGGGGGATGGAGGAGGTGAGCGCTTGCCTCTGCTGCAATTTCCGGCAAGTTATGTGTTGTGGCATATGCATAAACGGGGAGCGGATTAATTGAAGCATTGGCTTGGACGTGCAAGTGCAGTGAACTTATTATTGTTTCTGGGAGTCCATACTTATCAGCCAGATGAAGCATGGAAGGAAGAACCGGAAACGGGATGATTGAGCCTGCGTCCAATTTGAAACGAGGTCTCGTTCCATCTGAGTTCTCCATTGGGGGAGGGGAAGGGGGTTGTTGAATGAGGCGGAATAAAGTTGCTAAAGCATGCTCCGTTTCATCCAAGTCGAGAACTGCTTCCTGGGGCCCAGGCTCGTCCTTATCACCCACTAGTTCGAAACCGTGGTCGCAGCATGCAAACATATTCCCTTTACATATATATTAACTCGAATACGGTTTGAGATGGACTTGGACATACGGAACACTTCACATGTTTCAATAGCATGGCGACTTACTTGAAACTCTGTGCCATCAGGCAGTGACCGCACGTGGAACTTTGGGCCACTAGTACTGGAATCGGCATAGCTTGTACTGGAAATGTTTTCGCTAGTCATATCAAGGAATAGCAGATGCTCTCCACTTGTGTCCTTTATAGACGTATCAACGTGCAACGTTTTCGCAATCGTGTCCGTTGACGTACCAACACGCGCATGAGATATGCGGCAGTGGGAACACAGCAATTCCGTAGTCCAGGAACGAATCCGACATGCATCAAACCCGCCAACCTGTACCAGAAAATTGCCAGTGCATTGAAAAATACATCGCGGACTAGATCGCGTAAGTCACAGCGTGAGGAGTGGGACTGTGATATTGTAGCTAGAAGGAAACCCATGATAGCCCGAAAGCGAGCGAAAAGAACAAAGCAGAAGAATCGTGGAGGTATCATCGAATAGAGGTAAAGGGAGTATGAAATCTAAGTCGCCAATAACCCGAGAAGATGTCCTTCACATAACCACGCATTTGGGTTTCTTGCTGCCGCCGTCCTTCGGTTGCTTGTCGCTCTGTTTTCCCCCTGATCCACCAGTTTCCAATCGTTTCGTCTGCCGTAGGGCACGTACTAGGTTGGTGAAAAGGAGTTCGACGTTATATGCTGTTCTTGCTGACGTTTCCATGAATTCACAGCCAAATGACCGAGCGAGCGCGATACCCTCCTCACGTGAGACTTCACGCTCGTATGTCTTGTCGCACTTATTGCCCACCAGCATGAAGATAGGTTTTTGGCGCTTAACTTTGAGCATCGACTGTCTGAAAACGTCCAGCCGTTCAAATGTTGACCGAGATGCGATGGAATAGACCAGAATAAATCCCTGGCCTTCCCTAAATGTATGACATAGTGAGACATGCCAAAACAAGAGGGCGCAGTCATTACGTACCGAACCCATTGGTCACGTAGTGTAGCGTACTCCTCTGCACGAATATCAGAGAGATGGCAAAGTTGTAATGAATGATGCTCACCCTGCCCAGCAGTGTCGATGACTTCGACGAAACACATCTTGTTATCCACAATTAACTGCTTCCTATAAGCGTCTTCTATTGTCGGGTCGTAAGTCTGCGAGTGACCATGAGCCAATTGATACTAGGGTGAGCAAGAACACATACCTCTGCATGACATTATGCGAAGAAGAATCGAGGTTATTAGATTGGAATAGACAGTTTACGGTGGTTGGGCCTACCAACGAAGCAATTGAGAGTGAACTAGTAGCGAACATGAGGCATAGATAGGTGACAATATGATCATAAGAACTGACCTGGACGGCCAAAGCAGTTTTACCGACACCACCATCGCCAAGCACAGCAACCCTCCAGCTATCCATAGCTGTTAATGATAGATTAGGAATAATAGCGAGATGGAAGCAAGCGAAGAAGGATTACCTTGAGTATGATCGAAAGAAATGGAACAGGAATTCTGTTGTCAAAAGTGAATTATAGTTGTCAGAGAGGGTACAGGGGATGTGTGTACCTTGAGAAGCCGAAAATGGAGTTTGGAGCCGGAGAAAGTGCCAAGTATATAGGGATACCTTAAGAGATGAGGTTTGGGAGAAGGAAGAATATTCAGAAGTCGTGCAGATCGTATATGGTCGTAAAGAAAGGCGCGGAGATGGACTTTGAGACTTAGAGAGAGAAAGGAGTAGGAAGCGGAGAGAAGAGAAACTTGCGTTGATGTAACTTGGCTTGTCCTTCCAAGTACTCCATAAATTTACATCAAAATACTTATCATTATAATATAATTTTAGAGTTTTACTTTCTATTTTATATTTATTTACATCACCGCCTACGGATATCTCCATCCACCCTTTCAAAGCATTAATGTTCTTAAATCGAATGTCCCCCTTAAAAGCAGTGTTAAGAGGTAGATGAACAATTGCGGTACACCTAATTAATTGCCGTCAGACAACCATACATGGCATGATCAAGCTCGACCGACACTACCATGAAACTGACAGGAAAACCCCACACGGGCCCGACATTCTATCCATCGGCCTCCGAGAGCGACCCTCATATGACACCGCAGCCTCCCGTTTTGGTAAAATTATGAAGGGATGACCTTGCGCTCCTCTCAAAGGAAGGCGCCCATCTGGAACTATGAATGGGGTTGTGGACTGTTCCATTGGGAGATCAAAGAAAATCGTGTTGGGGCCACAAAATTCAGGGCAATCTTTGACTGCGGGCCACTCGAATGGTTTACGAGGCTCTTCGGGGTAAGGAACGCCATCAGATAAGTCTGGGCATCCCCCTGTAACTTCCCGCGACGATCAACAAACCATCGTCATGGTCTTTCTCTTATTGTCAGGTCAGGTCGGAAAAAGTGACTTTTAACCGAACTGCCGAACTGCTGCATTTGGAAGGTATATGTTCATTAGGCGCTCGTCAAAACTTTCATCGTGACTTGTTAATCCAGATCGAACCATGCTCACTGACCCAGACCACAATTCCTGCAATCAAACTGGATGTTGATGCTCAAACTTAAAGCTCTGGTTTAGTATATATTCATTGAATGGCACGTTTTGATACTACTCAGGCTGGAACTAGTCGTCTGCTCACGGCCAAAGTCGCGGCTTGTATTGATGCCGTTGGACTTTACGAGCAACTGGCGATACGATTGCGCCACCGCCACCATAGTAGGATGTTACGTATCAACATTCCCTCGACGCGGTGTGTGGAAGCCTCGCCAAGGTATTTGTCTCCAAGTGTGGCTCATCGAGTACGCGGTAAAAGCGCACTTATCGTCATCGATGTGACAATCACCCACCCCGTGTTCTTTCTGACGCAGAACAGGCCCCCGACAAAACTTTCTCATCCGAGTTTCAGCCACGTAACTCGGATGTGATGTTCATCTCGTCACGATACGATGTTCCCGGGTCTAACTTATTCGTGATGACATGCGGCGACGAATGTATCGCGTATGGGGCTCCCAACCAGTTAATTGAATGTGTGAAAACTTGTATAAACTTTGTAAACACCTTTCGGCACCCAAAATGAATGTTTATCGTAAGAACACCCACTTACTCGGGCCACCTAAAAGGATAGAAACAAAGTAGGTTTTATCGACTCGTCTGATGAACTTCAAGTACTTACTGTCACGGTCATCAGGCTGACTCATCGGCTAATATACGGAGAGATCATGCCTGGTATGCGGTAGTCGATCTCACCCGACGGAGTCTCATCCCCGTCCAGTCCGAGTCATCCCCAGCGATTCTCACCAGATCCGGGGAGCAATCGCGGTCGAGTTGCGCTTCTGACACGTGTACTACTTGCGGTAGACGGTGAGCAAGCGAGTCCAATTGATACCGGTGTGCTGCACATTCAACGTTGACGCGTAGACCCGAAATTAGCATGGCGGCACTGGTCCGGCCTGGGGTTATTTCACGTAGCTTCCCGCAACAGTCCCCGACTCGAAGGACCGACGGCTGACTTGAATGACATAAAGCGACAGCATAGAATGCGAGTAAACCAATAGTAATCATGAAATTGTAGCGGCACTTATTGATACCTCCGACCCATCGTAATTATGCTTGCAAATTGGGTCTGTCCGCATTGCTGTTACATCAGGCTAAATATCTTAATCGGAACGCCGATGTTGATCCCGGCGGTATGGGGCTATAAGTCAGGACTCAGGAGTCAGCGCTAATTGGCTCAAGGGATCGTGAAGTTTCACTTGTCTGTCCCCTTGCCCCACGAGCTGCCAGTGCTCAGCACCAAGACCTGTGCCTCAGCCAATAATCAGGAGTCGACCTTTTCTAGTGGCCAAACTTTCTATAATTGAAATTTGCCACCCTCAGATTCATTTAAGAGTGGGAAGTAAGAATAACAATGCTACCCTGCTCCCCAGTTGGCTCTCCCTCTTCCGAAATGTCCACTGTTTTGTAAAGTTAAGTTTCAGTTTTTTTTTTGTCGCTGTCTGTAGTATTCAAGGGTGAGAATTATTCTGAATGGAAGAAAAGAAGGTAATGATTGGCGCACAAACACATCCAGTTTAGTTCAAAACCACAATTGAAGAAACCACAGTTTGCTTCGGGAGTCTTTTTCCCATTACTTCTTTAGAAGGAAGGAATTGTAACGACACGCCTTCTGTGTGTGTCCATGGAGTACGCTCTGAATCGAGCTCCGAAAACGTAATGGTTGGTTGGTCCAGACAAGCCGTTTTCATTCCTTCCAACACTCGTTCAGACGTTCACTATTTGGGAACGTTGTGCCTTGCTCGAGCGTCTGGTATATATAGTTGTTCCTCGAGCGGCAACTGATTATAGATAAAATCTTTTCAAATCTCGACATGATAAGATGTTCATACCCTTACCTGCATAAATGAAGAACGTAATGAAAGATCCAGGCTCGGACGCAGCTACTGGCGCGCCCATTCATTCCAGTGTTACCATCTGATAAAAAGATTGCATAACTGACAAGGTTCAAAGAGAGTCTGTACAACTTGCCTTCCAGGTATTCCCCATTCATTACGTCTGCAACGAACGGCCATCTCGGAACGATTGAATACTATGAGTCATGTGAATTCCGATTGCGGAGTACAGTCAGAATTGGGTAAGGAGAACCACTGAATGACGATTCAGTCCATGTTTGCGAATTCGCCTCCTCTTCGGTAGGGTGTATGGGCGGCGATAATATTTTCCTGGAAAAGCAAGAACAATAAGTCAGAACGGGTGGGGCGGGCGATCATGAAACCTAGTACATTCTTGCCGCGCTGTCTATCAGATTTTGATGGATACTAAATATAGTGTCAGCAGTGCAAGCTATGATTGCCAAGTGACTTTGTACTTGTGGTTCACTGGGAAGTAGTAGGGGCAGTTGAATTTTCCCAGGTCCCGCAGCACGCCACTAAGGAAGGAATCCTAATTCGCTCTTGCCGCCAGCCGCGTCAGACTGATTCAAGTTTGATCGGCGATGCGTAATTAAGAGGGTCAGAGGTGGACAGTATGTTATAGTCAGCGTTCTGATGATCATGCCAATGTCACTTAGCAAGGCCTACATAAATATTGCCGACTACTTACCGTTGCCATCTTTCCAGAACAGCCACGTGGTATGTCGTCCAGGCCAAGCAATTGTACTTGTTTTATCAAGTAACGTTCAAATATCATTGGAGCTGGCTGTTCAAGGGCAGTTATTTCATTCTCGACAGTCCCTGTCTGAACAAGGGGGGGTTATGATAGTATCTGATTATTGTCATGATATAGAAATGAGCTCTATTTCCGCACATACGTTGGATTTCATAGGAAATTCCACGCATCCCTCGGAGTGATAGTGTTCTTTAGATAGATAATGCGCGATGGTTCCTCCGAGGATTAAGGGTCAGCTCACATGGGACGTGCTGCAAGAGGGAAAAGTTACTCACTGCTATCAAAATAAACTCGCTGAAGCGCTGTGAGCAATTAAGCCAAGCTTGTCCAAGAGTCAGCCGTGGTAAAGCAGGTGACAATTATACTTAAGCACAGATTTATTATGATCAGGAAGGACAGGTGTGCCTTCTTGAAAAGTTACCGTAGTTCGACCCATGTGACTTGGCAAAGAGGCTGGGCTGAGATACTTTTGCCCTCGAAAGATAAGACAAACAACAAACTTCCCATTGTGATAAGATATGTGTAGTTGGAACAGGCGGGAGTATGTGTGGAACATGGAATGGCAGGCATCGTGATAAAGGCGAGTGGCAGAATGAAGACATTGCGTGTAAGGAACCTATTGTATGCTGTAGTGTGCGGTGCTGCACATCGGAATGAGTTGTATACCGAGATAATAAAAAAACTTCAAATAAAAAGAAGCCACCAATCATACAACGTGGTAGAAAAGGGTTTGGAGTAATGGGTCAAACGGCGGTTGATCTATGACTGTAGGGCACTCTCGTTAGTCTAGTGCGAGAGTACCACGTGTATCCTGCGAGTTCAATCCTGTCTGCTCAGCTCTCCCTGGGTCAAGTCAAGTACGAAGACTGTCTTGGAGTTCTTTGGTGGCTCTATGAACTTGACGGGTTTTTTTGATGAGCGCGAGGAAGTACTTTGTGATATTGAAACAAATGGTCGCAAAGGGCGAGAGTGAGGGAACGACGGTCGCATAGGCAATGCTCTCGACGAGCCTGGCGGGGCATTCAATGACGATGCAGCAAGGGGCGAAGAAACGTATGGCATCGGAGATGATGCTCTAAGGGCAGGGTGTACTGCAGACATGGTCATGGCAGCTGTGAAAAACATCAGTTCACAGCTATGTATAGCAGTCAAAGGGTTGAACATACGCATTACGTTGAATAGAGCAGGCGAAAATTTATGAAAACCGTGAGGTAGACGGTTGCGGATAGTTTGACGAGTAGTTGACAGCGAAAGGTGTTTCTGGATGGTGAAGGATTGTGAAAACGTCGCGTCGCAGACGTGGCGGTCGTTTAGTGGTATTTATATACTTTGTTCCAATCCTGTGGGGATGGAATGCAGAGAACTCCAATGCATATTATTGGCGACATGTTGGGGATTGCCTAAATTCGTTAGATTACCAAATCTCCTTCCACGTGTGAAAACCCCAACTTGAGCTTGGTAGCGCTATTCATGCTGCTCAGCTGTTGAGTTGAATGTCGACTTCCATGGTCAGGCGATTCTATCATTCAGTGTAAAATTTAGCTGACCACTTGGGTGCATTAGCCTGGGACACCATCAACGTTTATCTACCCCCATGTGCATAAACGGCTTGCACTTAGTATGCCGCCTCCTTGGCAAGTGGCTAAAAACTTTGATAGAATGAGCGACTGTCTTTCTTACAATATTGGTCCAACTGCCCACAGTGATAAAAGATTAGCTCAAAACGTCCACTGCCAGCATATGAGGAATCTCGATGGCGTCCCCCCACGTCCGTGAGATGGCTAAAGTTCTGGTACGTATCTTCAGAGGTTCACCGAGCCACCGAACCCTAAGGCCTACACCCTTGCCCTATAATTGATATAGGGCAAGGCCACAGTCGGAAAAGAGACTCGCCTTTAGTGAGCTACTTGCCACTCAGTTCTTGTGTACTGACTCCGCATCACATAATTATTTCATGACACCGCGTTTACCAAACACTAGATTCCCCGTTCCCGAATGTTTCATACTACTTAGAACAGAATAGTCCAAGTTCCTCCGATCACTGCTCCCAGTTCGTGGAAACATATTAGCATGCCCAAGGCTGGCCCGGTAGAACGCCGCTGGTACTAGAGGAAACTTGCAACGCGGTTCGGAGCACACAAAAAACGGGTGCAGTTTTATCACTGCCTGCCAGATGACGATCTACGTATTGATATTAGTGTGAGATATAATGTGGAACATTTCCATATGCGACTCTTGATAACGAGCGATACGGAATTGAAATGATTGAGGACAGGATATGCTATGCTTCTAAATAAGCACATTGGAAAAAAAATTAAGGGTGAGACTAAATGAGGATGCAATGAGATAGTAAGTACACAATAAGTTTCGGAGGAGGGAGACAAAGGGGAACAAAATACATTTCTTGGATTCGTGGGACTGCGGAGATCATAAGGAGATCATAGTGGCACGATGCAAGATGGCGCGATAGGAGGCCCACAGCGCATGAGCTGCGTGGTTCGTGCCTCATGCAGAAGATTCGAACGGCGATGGCTGATGGTGCGAATGCCTCCGCCAACCCTTCTACATCTGCCATCTGCATCTGTAAGTCTTCTTCCTACGTATATTAACGGGTTAAGCAACAAATCGACAGTCCTGGATGAGTTTCGAAGACGGAAATGATGTTACAATGGTGGGGCCAGGACTTTCGGCCAGTGGTCGACAAATATGATGTGCCGTTGGGTCATTGTAATCGAGCGTCATGTTCTTGGAGTTGTGTAGTAGCCAGGTAGATGGGGGACCAAGGCACTTCAAGCTACTGGACATCGACGAGAAGATTTCGTTCGAGTATATATTTTCCCTCCTTGTATTGCTGCGATTGTTCGTAGGCACGGTCCTTGAATGACAAAAGAAAGAAATGAGGTGGACCATGCAATGAAATGAGCGGGTGTTATGACGTACATATTTCCAGCCAAGGACAGTAGCACATTTGACGCAATAAATATCCCGGACAGTGTGGTTGCCTGTGGTCATTTGACGGTCATTTGGTTCGCCTTCTATGACATTAACTCTGGAATTGGAACGGTAAGATGAGCCTATCGATGTTAATAGGAACTCAGAACTCACACGCCATCAAAGAGATATGCGCGGCCATGCTGGCCGTTGAAAGCCTGACAATGCCCGCATCAACACACTAAACCTGGAGACGAAGGATGAGAGTGGTGACGCACTCGTGAGATCATAGAGTGGATCGTTGCAAGATGCGTCTTGCACTTGGAGCAGCCATAGATGCGCTCGCCAGCCAGATAACGACGGTACTTCATCCCCATTTTGTCTGGTGTTCTAGCTTAGGAGCGAAAAAGCGATTATTAAGTAGAAGAGGCGAAGATCGCTTGGATAGTGGAAACTTATAGGAAACAAAATCCTTTATACTAAAGACGTGTGAATGTAAGTAACAAGTAGGTTCAGGAAAGAGTCGGAAGTGACCAGTGATGAGTCGACATTGACTATTAGTACTACGCCCCAGTCACACACCTTAGTAATTAAGCTGTTACGTTTTCCCACCTTTCTCCATGATTCCGGCTGAACCTCATATGTTGGCCTACACGGCTCTGGTCCATTCTCGGTTAATGCTCTGCCAAGGTCATCGATCTGTGATATCGGGACTATTCTATACACCTGAACCAGTGTACGATTTGATTATGGCTAAAGTCAAGGTCTCTAATTACGCATTAACGCCCAGTTTATTATGTCCAACACCAGGCCGCCGCATCCTTGTGACATGGTCTCCATGATAGAGGATTATTATTGCCTAGTCTTTACCTTCTGGAACGTGGAATTTTCTGAGCTTGGTGCAGGCGCTGGGAGCAGGGTGCCAGATGTCTCGGTATATGGAGTGACGGATGTCCTTTTTCGGCACAAGTACTTTCAAGTGCTGCAATTCTTTTCGATAGTACCTACTACGACTTGTAAAAGTATTGTAAAGAAATGGCACAGGGTATGGGTTTGCGGTTAAATAATCCCTATTACTTACACCCAATTTATCCCAGAAAAACAGGACTCAGTGGTGCGTTTGCTGTCGTGTGCCCTTCACCGAATCCGCACAACGCCTCCCCGAGTAATCGCTTCGCCAGCAACTCGTGAGTCATGCCATCTTTGTCTTGGAAATTTATCTTCTGACTTGTTATTCCACAGAGCCTCGTCGGGCCGCTGTCGCCATCATTATCCGTGTCGTACCTCCCCCCAACACCGTACCTGTGCCGGTTGGCGCCCCTCTACCCACCTTGAATCAATTCTTCGAGTTAGATTGGGTCAAGGACCCTCTCGCTTGCCCAGAATTTCTCCTTCTGAGACGCGACGGTGCGGGCCCTTCTGATGCAGTTCCAGGGCGTACATCTGCATTTCAGAACTTCACTGGCGATGGGGCTTGGAAAGGCAGCAGCAAGGCTGGAGCTCACGTTGCTTTCCCCGGCGGACGTACTGAAGAGGGTGATGAAGGAGGTCTTTATACAGGTACATCCATTCTCTCCATTTTCTTGATTTTATCTCACTTCCCACCTCATGGCAGCCATGCGTCAAACATGGGAGGAGATTGGATTGGATCTCGCAGAGCGTGACTTTCTATGTATAGGTCAACTCGATGACAGAGAGATCACTACATCGATGGGCAAGCGACTCCTCATGATCCTGTCTCCTTTCGTCTTCCTGCAGCTCACTCCAAATCCTCTCCCTGCCGATCCAACGGACGGGACCACCATCCACTGGGTACCGCTTGCCACTCTTGCTAGCGCAGTTTTGCCAGGACATCTAGGTGACAAGATGAACGCAAGAAGCAGATGGTCCAGTGTGACTGTAGATGCTGCGTCCAGGCTTACACCTCGACGTGCTGCTATCTTGAAAATATTAGTTAGAGTTCTCATAGGCACCATGCAGTTCCCTGCCATATTACTCGATCTTCCAGAACCCGACACGATATCAGGCTCATCCGCAGGTAGCCCTGGGGTACCCCAAAAGAACGGGTCGTACCCCACACTGACGCAGGACAAGCTTGAGAAGGGATTTACCGCTACAAAGCCTTCTTCGGGAAGGGACCGAAATAAAACGCGCCACCAACTCAAGTTATGGGGTCTTTCCCTTGGCATGACGCTCGACTTGATGGCGACTATGATACCGTCCACGCCGGTTCCGTCCTCTGCCTGTCTCAAGCCCGCATCTCAAGATCTGCACAAAGTTTCCTTGCCTAGTCTGCACCTGCCCTTCCACCCCGTAGGAGGCGAAGGAATGCGTATTGATGCCGTCGCACCCAGTCTAGCGAGTGTCTTCCCCCGTTTCTCTTATCCGGATGTCAACTTCTGGATCTGGTACGTCTACTTTTAATATTGGTTATGGGTGTCTGATGAGATTCCATCAGGGTCTTTGGAAAGCGTTATCGCGAAGTTGTACGTGGGTGGGAAGCCAGTGTACGCGATGGAGGCTCCAATGTCCGACGGTACTTGGCTTTTCCATTGGAATCTGGTGTATTTTAATGAAACAATTTTTAGAGTCAACTGGTCAGGCACGGCACTGAATACATTCTATGCTGCGGTTCGCAAGGCTTTACTCGTAGTCTTGGTTCTTCGTGCGATTGGTGTACTCATTGGTCTCGTGTTCGCTGGATGGTGGGTTTTTGCATGAAGAACTTCTTCTGGACCCTTACTATCGTGGATTTTGGTACCTTCGTGGAATACTATATCTTTTCATTATGATATTTCACTAATGCGGATCGGCATCTCACTCATCGTTTTCACGACTTTTTCGGATTACAAAAGCATGAAAGACACTGCAAAATCAACTTTTCTCCATCACTCCTGTTCATTATTTCCAATGTTACACTTGTGCAATCTAGTTACGTATGACTTCTCTCTTCTTTCTTCGCGTAGTTTCGTTCCGACCATTAGCCCAAAGGCAATCCACACACCTCGCAATCTGTTTCTCCCTGGGGGTTTTCAAACGTGCAATGTGGACAAATCTTGACACCCGAGCCTACTCCGCTAGGACCTTCTCTTCGCGCCGCTTCTTCGGCAGCGATTTGATCGAACACGTCTTGAGGAATGTCTTCGTCGATATGTGACGATGATGGACCAGGTGCAGATGTAGATGGCAATGATGCTGGTGAAAGGTACACATAAGAAACAGCATTCAGTGATCGACAATTATCCTTACGAGCACTCTCCCGGGTAAATGTCATGAGTGTCTGCCAGCTTTCAGTCTTGAAAAGTGCGTTCAGTGCCGAAGGATTCTCCAATAATGATGGTGAAGTCATTGTGCTGACAAGAACTTTCATGTCGACCTGCAAGGGGTCAGGAAATTTCTTGGCGGACTAATACAAATCATATCATACCTTCGACACAAGTTGCGTGGTCTCAAGGAATGCAAGTAAATGCCAATCGCTAAGCCATTGGGCGAGCTCCAGATGTTTAGAGGCATCGCTCGTTGACGTAAGGGGACTATCTGACAATTGAGGAGCACGAAGCCTGGCCAACGTCCTGAGAACATCTTCCACGTGTTGGTCTTCAAGTCCTGGGCGGTTCTCGATGGCGAACTGGTTCGAGCGGAACAGCGGTGATGGACTCTGAGGGAAACCATGTGTGACCTATGTGAAGTAAACCATACCTCAGTCATATAAATAGCTCATCCATTCGCTAAGCTAAGCCTCACATTTACGAGGAGGTATTCAACCGGGAAGCAGGGTTTGGCAGTCTTCTTGACTTCGAGGTTGTATTCATTTTTATACCTGAAAAATACATCGGGCACGTAACGTGCCGCATCCTGACTGCGGTCTTCCTCTTTGATGCGGACAATTCCAGGTTCCACGCTGGCTTCGATCATGTCAGCGTCTACCATTGCACACGCTTGCTCGGAGACTTGATATGCGGATATGTCCACTTTTCCGTCTTCTGTAGCAGTAAGAATAGCGGTGACCATCCGTGATCCAAATGCCCCACTAGAAGATGATCGCGAAGAAGTAGGGTTTGACTTCTGTATAGTGGCAGCAAAGATGGCCTCCAGGGAGGACACAAAGAAGGAATGAGGGTGGCGTTTATATATGCTTTTAGTCCTATCTTCTGGATCTGGGTCCAAGTCCGTGAAAATATAACCAACGATGGACAATGGAGCTGAAGCCATCTTGGCTAACTCTCGAATGCGAGGCTCATCCTCCCATGGAATACCGAGGGTCAATCCGTCGAGTTCACCTTCTTGAGGCGGCTCATATAGGGCCTCAACCACAGCTTTGATGCCCATGGGCACCTTCTCATACGGCTCATAACGTCCAATGAGCCAGCCAAACCTTTGCAATCCTGTAGATCTCCATGCTTGGAGGAAGCGTTCTATAATATCCGGTGAAGCGATCTCGAGATGATCGACCATACGGAAAGACTGAGACTGGAGCGTGATAGCAGAAGGTTGACAGCCCGTACATATTCCGGCTGGCCAAGGCAGGTGCCCGCCACTGGGACACGGATTCTTAACCTTGTACGATAATGGAGATAGGGGAGGAATAGCAGTGGCGGCAGCGGATGACGTTTTTGGTGATATCTTATGAAGATACGCATGATACGAAAGATGCTTTATGCTGTGTTCAGCTTGATACGCGGCATCGTACGGCTCAAGTGGCATGCAATAGTCACACATCCCGTTGAGGCCATGTTTGCAGAAACGCGCGTCACGACCTCGTGGAATTTTTCCGTCTTTCGAGCGCCAATATATGTCGACCGCGTCTTCTTGCACAGTTTCCCATATATTTGACTGCGGTCGCGTCGAGCTCGGCACATCAATGGACATTGGTGTTGCGGGAGTTTGTGAGACTTTGATAGCATATCCCACATATATCATGTCCCCATGCCTGTCCTATTTAAGTCCCCAAGATACAGAAAATATAGGCGTCTACTTACTTCAGCCCAAGGGTCTGCAGATTTCGCCCTTTCAGAGTGGACACTAGCGTTTCATTGCCCCTGGGTTGATTCGAGACCGTAAGAGATGCAGGATCGGCATCCACAGTTGTCTCTAAGATCTGAAATTCGAAGGTGTCAGGTGTGTAAGCTCAAGAGTGGTTGACATCGCTGACCTTGTTCACGAGCACTGAAATATCAGCGGTTGGGGGAAGTTCGAAACGGAAATTTCCATCCTTCGACCTGACTCGCAACAACTACACGAGTAGTAAGATCCTGCGATACACGGAGAACTTGATACTGACCATATCACTTTTCAGATTCAAGCGAGATCTGAGGATGTCTTGTTGGAGGAACGCGTAATCCAGTACCAGCACTTTAACATCGTCATCTAATTAATTATCCATCGCTGACTAAGCTCCACGTAAGTATGTCCTTTCCTCAACACAAGCACTTCACTTACTTGACTGGTGTGCAGCTCACTACTGCAGCTGTAGGCCAGCATCATACTAATCAAGCCTCAGGTCTGTTTTTTTTTCATTGGTAGACTGATATCGGTCTTATCTAGAGCATTTATAAGACTTTCATATTTTTCCTTCCTTACGTAATAATATGCTTGGTTCCCTAGTAGCAGTGTCGCAATAATGAGAAGGGATTGCGAATTACACCGCGAGGCTCGCTCGGTAGTGGATTTGGGTCCAGAATCAACGGGTACTTATCATATAATTGGCCTTTCTTCCCGCCATGCCACTTTCTCAAGACAATTCTATCACCTACGAACAAATTAATTCACTCAGGTTCGAATCCATACAAGCAGAGCTCGCCAATTGGGAACATATCGTGTTTCAAGGTGACATGGGTGACTCGCACAGACAAAGGGAAGCATCTTCAAGCAGCGGCAATCATACATCCAAGCCAGTCAACAATTCCGCTGACAATACAGGGGTACTTTGTGTAAGAGTTCTCAACCGAGTTGGACTGACAATTTTACAAGACAGGACATCAATTTCACGGTGGTGCACCACCTCACGTTCCTGCTGAGGCATATAACTACCTTATACATGCATTGCTTTCGATGCAAGGAGCTATACCACCCAAAACAGCACATAACCAATCGTTGCCATACCCTCAAGGACAATTCCCGGCGGGCCCTTCTACATCCTCAGTTTTTTCCGGTGTGCCACACCAAGCCATGCACTCTAATCTACCCCCTGTGATGTCGCCTACAGGACCCATTCCACATTTCCCCTCCACTATGATGACCACACATTCAGGCTTCCACAGCACGGTCAATGAGCCTACAGCGTTTGCGTCATCAAGTACGGCTTCTCCAGATGCAAGTGATAACGCAGACGAAGCTGCTGCTATTGCTGAAGATAAGCGCAGACGAAATACTTCTGCTTCAGGTTCGTGGTTCTCCGACTGCGGACACACGTGAGTCTGAATATGGATCCTCCATTTAGCCAGATTCCGGATCAAAAAGAAGCAGAAGACGCTCAACCTCGAGCGAACTGTTACCGATTTAACTGGCAGGACCGAGGAATTGGAGCGAGAGGCATCAGAGCTGCGACGAGAGAATAGTTGGTTGAAGGAAATCGTGCTATTAAAAAGCAGAAGAAGGGGCGCATTTGGTGGCTTACAATCCACGGACTCCCACCAAGCAGGTACTTCATCCGCACAGGGAGACGGTCATGATGATGATCCTAGCAGCGACGGGGAAGAAGGTCACGAGACACGCGGAAGGAAATAATACAACGCGTGATCGAGGTTGGAACATCTTGCTGATGTGTATGAGAGGCTTATTTTCAAGATCATAGATGTCACGGAGATGCTTTTCCTTCTGGGTGTGTTCATCAGCCCCATCTCTTACAGGTTCAGCGTAACCGGATTTTGTAGCAGCCAGGACTTTGTAGCACATTCGCACGTACCTTGTAACGGGTCGCGATTTTAAACGTGGCTAGAAACCACATTACTAAATTTTTACGTTCATTCTTGGTTCATTCATACTAAGGTAGGCCTCATCCGGTTCCAGCACCCCTTAAGTAAGCAAGGTTGAGCTGTTCAATATCTTCGAATAGCATCCATATGAAACCAATCTGCGCCAAATATGATTGCTGGAAAGGTGTCTCATCAAGGTCTTCTTGAAGGCCCAGGAGGAGTTTTAATTTTTGGATCAGAACTCATGGAGAAATAAGTCAAGAACATCAAGAGTGTAAAATGACTTGGAATATCATTTCCATGTGCTGGAACAGCGAAAAAAAATAATGAGAAATCCTCCTTGAAGTATTTGGCTGCTGTAAAGAGTAGATCGGGGCTGGGCTCTACAGAATGTGGTCCCTAGTCCTGAGTAGTGCTGCTGCAGTCCGGTCCAGAACCACGGTTTGAACCGGACTTTTGGTCCGGTTCTCCGTGGTTCGGTCCACGGTTCTCGCATCAGCCAGAACCGGACCGGAAGGTGGCTCTTGGTTCTACATATTCCCGAACCGTTCTGAACCATTGACAACTTTGACTGCGATCGATCGACTTCGACTTCAACAACATTGGCCTCAATGTCAGACTGTCGTCTTTGGGATTTGCACTCTAGGTTAATCAGGCAATCTTTAGCATTTTTGAAGGTAAGTACTAACTAATCAAATTATCAATATTCTTGCCTACTGACATATGTTTGACTATGTTACAGATATATGTTAATTCAAGTCTGCACACTTCCTAGACAGTCATGACCCTCCACCGGCTCTCAAGTCTTTGTTCTGGGGCGCATGGGTGTTGGCTCCCTGCTCCATGTACAAAACGAGGTACTGACGACAAAATTGTGAGTTATCTCTGACAATGTCTCAAGACGCCTGTGCGCTTAACGCTGACGGCTCCCTCAAGGATGCCTCCGATATCACTTTCTTCAATGACCCTGACGATGATGTACCACTTCCCAAAGTCCCACCTTCCACCCAGCCATCGACATCAACTGCATCTACAAGAGATGCCTACTCCGTTCTACTCAAGGCTGGACATACCCCAGCAACAGTTGCAGCCGGTTCTCGGCGGTCTGGCCATCCCTTAAAGCCCTCAGCTTGTATGTGTGATGCTGACAATGCCTGTGGGCTGTCTTCAAGTTCAGGCATGAGGAAATGTGCACTGTCAAGTGCTACAGACCATCCGGCACCGAAGAAAGTTGCTATGTGATTTTTCTTGCCTCTTGACTCTGAAGACGAAGATGAAGACGAGGACGTCCATCCAGGAGAATCATCTGCCGATGAGCTGGTCCCTCAACCTGATGTCAAAGACTTAGACGACACCAATGATGCCAAGTCCGAGAATGGGGTTGCCACTCAGACGGTATGTATCTGTCACTAGCAGTAACCCTGTGGCTTTGCCACGGCTGTCTGAGTAAAGTTCGCGCTTTTATAATTCAGCAGAAGAAAGCACGCAAGAAATGGTCCAAAGAAGAAAACCAAATGCTCGTATACATGTATGAGTTAGTAGTGCAGTAAATACAAAAACTGTTCGAAAGATAGCAACTGTGATCGCACTTGCATTCAGCTCTGAAATCACTGGCAGGTGCGACTACGTTTTGATGGTGTACCATCCTCCGAGTTATCATCAGGTAAAGAGCGCTTATTCAATGGCGTGCAGTCTGAGAAGCTGAATTTCAACTTCGAATGGCCTGGAGTTGGGGTTGTAGAAGTAGCACCTTTCCATGTAAAGTTAGATTTAGATGGCAAGGAGATGTAAATTTGATACTCACCATGCAAACTTGAACCAGTTGACGCTACAACAGGACGGCCAAGAAATGTAATACTATCCACTTCGATACGGAAGCGCTCTGTCTCATTTTTGTCGCCGGCTTTGAAAGTCTTGCGGCCAATGATGAATCCCCCAATACTAACATATCTATTGGGTTGGACAATAAATTTTTTCCCCGATAGTGATTTCTTCCATCTAGCAGTGTCAGGGAAGGTACACTCAACCGGCATTAGTGACCTAAAGTTGATGCTCGATGGTTCTGGTTTAAGCGCAGTGACATACTGATGAGCATCAATGCAGAATGACCGTGCAAGGTCATCAACAGTGCTGACTGTGCCACAGATTTCGACATATGGGGTGAATGTGGGATCAATGCCTTGACCGGCAGGAATCAACTAAAAAGATCAACATCATCGAGTAAGTACTAACAATCACAAACTTTGAAATGAAGGAAGACGTGCCCTGATGATATCTCCAACAATATCATAGTCCATTTCCTCCATACCCGGAAGAAGCCCGAGGCGCGCGCCAGATTCCATTTTCGCCACCTTAAGAATGGATTCAGTATTCTGGTATTGCTATCAGTAACCGTTGTCTTAATAACCGAGGGTCTTATATAAAGTCGTGTAAATGTAATGACACCACAATTACACTTTGGATAAGACTGCTTGCCAGTCCTCGATTAACACGGTCTACGACTTTTCCTATTTCGTGGTAGATAACGTGTGAGTTCTTGGGAGGCTCGCTAAACTAATCTTTGTCAAGATCAACCTAGCCGGAGCTTTACTTTTCTTTATTGAAACTCAAATCTCTTGTCTAGGAATAAGCTTCTAGACACGTAATTCGGTTTCTGGAATGTATTTGCCTAGGAAATCTCCTTCTAGGCTCTGGACTTGGATACTGGAACTAGTGAGACGTGGTCTCAAATATACGAAATGTGACCAAGATCGCTTGGTCTATGGACACCTGACTGTGAGACAATGGTCTCAAATATACAATATATGTTCAAGATCGCTTGAACAAAGGGGACTATAACTTGACCAAGATCGCTTGGTCTATGGGACAACTAGTGAGACGTGGTCTCAACAATATGATAGATGACTAAGATCGCTTAGTCAAAGGGCACAGAGCAATGAGACAAAGGGGTCTCAAAGACAATATATGTGACCAAGAACGCTTGGTCTATGGCACTAATAAGTTTCTAAGGTAAGAAACTTATAATCTCAAGGGAATTCTTTTCCCTGCACTTGTCTCACTTCAAAGGGACTAACTTTGCAAGTGAAATATCTGAGAGGCAGATTGCTACAAATGGGAGATCATATCTTTTTGGGGGGAGAATGGGCTCTCCTTATATACATTTTGTGTGGGAAAGTAACCTAGGTTCACAAACAATAAAAAATAAGGAGGACCAATCAAAATATTGGGTCAAACCCAATAAAAGAATAAAATACAAGTGAAAGATGGAGCTATGACATCATTGTGGAGCAGAACATTCTGGAATGTGGAGTAATGACATCATAATGACATCAAGAGTGACATCATTGTGGAGCAAAAGATTCCAGAACCTTCCATGAGTGAGTCAGAGTGAGTCATTGTGGAGCAGAATATTCTAGAAGGAAATGACATCATGAATGATGTCATTGTAGAGTAGAATAATCTAGAGCTTGATGACATAATATCTTTCAACAGAATACCTGCAGGAGTATCTGTGGAGTCTTATGACATCATAATGACATCATACCTTATGGATACAATTTTATGAAGTGTCAGGTGAGTCAAAGCATCCTAATGAAAAAGTAAAGTAAAGAAACACTAGAGAAAAGTAGGTAGCAAAAATAAGACAGTTGGCAGGAATTGAAACACGGTCTTTTTGGATAGGTTTTTTTATTGGCTTTGTACTTTTCTCTATGGTTTTCTCTAGCCAAAGTGAATAAGCCAAAGGCAAGGCTATACCTTAACCTTCATTTCCCTTCTCACATCAACTAGGTCTAAATGTGATTCCCATCTCACATTAGACTTTTTCCGTCAAAACATATTCAGATCATGAAACTTGGGGAAAACTAGAAATATGGACCATGGTTTGAAACCAAGGTATGGATTGACTAGTCTGAGGACTAAGCTAGCAGACTTTATCTTTTGAGGGTCACCTAGTATTCATGTCCATGCATGATTCCCACATCATGCAGGACAACGTGCCCTCCTCACTCCATACCTGGCATTGCCGTCTGTGTCACGCTGGATTCTCAACTATTGTGAAGGCTATTGGGCATGTCAGTGGTATGAATGTCGACACAATGTTGCTGAACGGCGACTCAGATGGCGCAGACTCCATTCACTGCATTTCCTGTGTCATGGGCAAGCATAGGCGCCTTCCTTTCCCCAGCGTTGCATGCCGCGCGCAGGCTACTGCAGAGCTCATCCACTCTGACGTGTGGGGGCCTGTCAACACCGTTTCCTCCACTGGGGACTACTACTTTGTGGTCTTCACTGACGACTTTACAAGGTACTCCGTGGTATATCTTATGCGTGCTAAGTCCGAAGTATTTACCCACTTCAAACACTTCCTGCCGTGGATTGAGGCCCAGTCTGGCGGCCGTGTCCGATGCCTGCATAGTGATAATGGTGGTGAGTACGTCTCAACACCCTTCCTCCAGTATCTCGCAGAGCATGGCATCGAACATGAGACCACCATGCCCTATACACCTCAACAGAACAGTGTGGCAGAACGTGGCCACCAGACGGTTGTCACGCGTGTGCTAAGCTCCCATCACCAGAGCGGGTTCCCACGCTCATTCTGGGGTTGGGCCATCCTCAACTCGGTGCATGTCAAAAATGTCCTCCCTTCCTCCTCACTCGGTGGCCGCACTCCCTTTGAAGCCTTCTATGGTCGCAAGCCAGATGTGAGCTACCTCCATCCTTTTGGTTGCCTTGCGTATGCCCACGTCCCAGAAGATACACATCGCAAGTATGACTATGTCTCTCGGCGCTGCTTCCTCCTTGGTCATGTTCGGCATGCTGGGTACATCCTCTGGGACCCTTCTGCCAGGCGCACCATCCGCTCCCGCCATGTTCATTTTGATGAACATGTCTTCTATGCGGACCTGTCTCCGTCTCCTCTTGCCCCGCTCATTGATCCTCCCCCTGGTGTCCTTTCGTCAGTGGGAGTCCCTTCGTCAGTGGGAGTCCCTTCGTCAGTGGGAGCTGCCCTCCCACCAGCTGGTGAGCCACCAGCATCGACCCCTGCTAATGCTCCGCCCCCGCAGGTGTCAGTGGGAGAAGAGGGCAATGACCCACCAGCACCACCAGCAGACGCCATCCCAATGCCACCTCAGCCTCCTCGTCCAGCAGACCCTCCTCATCCAGCAGACCTATGCCGCAGCTCTCGCCCACGTTGTGCACCAACTGGCACCACCTCCACAGCAATACCCACCAGGAGAATACCGGTCGCTGAATGCTGGACTTACGTCCCAGATGTCCCAGAAGCAGACACACATGGTGATGCAGACGGCCAACACCACAACGCCGAAACCGAGACTGCGATGCATTCAACCGCAGAACCCCCCAAGCGCCCCAGCATAGCCATACCAAACACTATCGACAAGGCGCGTTCTTCACCAGAGTGGGAACAATGGTTAGATGCCTGCAAATCCGAACTTCAGTCAATGCAGGACCTCAAAATGCACACACTCATGCCACTCCCAGAAGGACACAAAGTGGTGGGCTCGAGATGGGTATTCACGGTAAAGACTGATGAAGAAGGCAACATCACCCGTCACAAGGCATGTTTTGTCACGCAGGGATATACTCAAGTTGAAGGGGTCAATTATACAGAAACATTTGCGGCTGTTGCCAAGTATGACACAGTCCGTATTCTTCTTGTCCTTGCGGCCAAATTCAACCTCGAACTTGACCAGATGGACATTCACACCGCCTTCCTCAACACCGACCTCAAAGAAGACATCTACCTCAAGCAACCAGCCGGTTTTGAAGACCCTGAACACCCAGACTGGGTATGGAAGCTGGAGAAAGCAATTTATGGGTTGAAGCAGGCGGGATATGAGTGGAATCAGACGTTGGATGAGTACCTGCAGAAAGAGGGGTTCAGATTCATCAGGAGTGAGGCCAACCACAGTCTATATGTCCTCCACGAGGGGGACAAGGTCATATGGTTAGTTGTCTATGTCGACGACATGCTCACAGCGTCAAACTCTCACGACTACCTGGACAAATTCAAGGCGCAGCTCAAACAATGTTTCGACTTATCAGATCTCGGCCCCGCTCGCCACTTCCTTGGCATGCATATCACGCGCGACCGGGAGAAACGACTCCTCACCATCAGCCAGAAGGCTTACCTTGAGAGGATCCTCAAGAACACCGGCATGACGATGTGCAACCCCGTCAGCACACCTATGACACCAGGTGTTGTCTTGCAGAAGGCTACACAAGCCCCAACCGAAGAGGAAGCAGCTGCCATTGCGTCCATCCCATATCGTCGAACAATCGGCGAGCTCAACTATGCCATGCGAACGACATGCCCTGACATTGCCTACTCCGTATCATGCCTCTCTCGTTATATGGAGAACCCCAGCATTGACCACCACTGCCAGCTCAAACACCTCCTTCGATACATTCATGGGACCACAGACTTAATGCTGGTCTTCGGCTCATCAAACGAGGGACTCATCGGTCATTCAGACTCGGACTACGCTGCAGATCGTGACGACAGTAAATCCACTAGTGCCTACGTCTACCAACTCTTCGGCGGGCCCATCAGCTGGAAGTCTCAGAAACAATCGGTTGTTGCCACATCTACCACGGAAGCTGAATACATTGGTCTATCGAACACTTCCTGTGAGGTGCTGTACCTCATCCAACTCCTGCATGACTTCCGACTCGACCCTGATCTATACGACCCTGCGCTGTTATACGGAGACAACCAAGCCAGCATTGCTCTCTCGAAGAATCCGAAGTTCCACGAGCGAGCGAAACATATTCGCATCCACTATCATCTTATCCGCAGCCTCGTCGACTCGAAGAAGATCGAACTGCAATACAAGTCCACATCGGAAATGATTGCTGACAGCCTGACCAAGGCATTGCCTCGCCCTGCAGGAGTACAACATCGCGAAGGGATGGGTCTGCATCGTCAGAGTATGCCGGATGCTCCGACGAGTGGGAGTGTTGGAAGGTGATCCGTCAGTTCCATGAGAGCATCCGTTCCGGTCTCATTCTTATATCACGTCTCCCCCTCTGTCATGAACTGTCACTTACTTAGTTACCCTTATTTTTCCTTTCCTTCATTTTCCTCAATACTTAAGGCCGATAGGCGCCTGCGACGCACCTCAGCCTCTTTCACCATAGACTGAGGTGTGTATGCTCTTTTACCCATGTTATTACCATACTGATTAGCACACCTATAGGCTCGTTCTACTTAGCTCTCACTCCAATAGTCAAGAATCAAATACATGCTGCTAATCGACGTAGATTCTAGCAATCCTTCCACTAGGTCACGCACCTTCAAACTCGCCATCGTGCACGAGGGAATTTGCGCTTTACTTTCCCCACTCCACGTACATGGTTACTCTATGCAGGAAGGCTCTTTTTTTTTCCCGGACTTGAATAGGACATCCAGCAATGTCACCATCACGTAGGGTTGCGAAAAGCAATCGTGGTGGGAGAGGCTATGTGGGATTCGTGGAGGTGGGATATCTGTTGGGTGAAGAAGGGCGAGCACTCCAAGCTGGAGGAACAAAAATAGATTCTCACATGTGCAGGCTACTCACGGGTTGCAACGTGCTGCTGATTGGAGACCTCCCTGTCGTTCAACCAATCGAGCTGACAATTCATCAGGTGAGCACATCGATGATCACATTGCGCAATTTGCGATGCTCTGGATCAGTACGTCAGTAGTCAACCAGCAACGACAAACTTTATGATGTGAGTGGCTGTCCTCAATGTTGATCCGTAATCCTTTTAAGCCTTCCTCACCTTCGATATACTCCATGGCTATCCAACTTGCCATGTCATCCTCGATGCTCTGGATCAGTAGTCAACTAGCAATGACAAACTTTATGATTTGAGTGGTTGTCCTCGATGTTGATCTGTAATCCTTTTAAGCCTTCCTTGCCTTCGATATGCTCCATGGCTATCCAAATTGCCGGGTCATCCTCAATCGAGCACTGCATGCCTTGTGAGTTATAAGGGTGATGGGCGTCAGGCTCTAGTACTTACAAGTGGCGAGATTTATCATGACAAGGACACCTCTTCTGTCTGTTCTTCGATGAGCAATTGTGTTTGTAGTAGCAAGTTTGAAAATACAACGTGAACAGTTTTGTCCTTTGTTCGTCTCTGTAAATAGTCAGCGTGTCGCTTTGCGTTCTCACTCTCGACAATGCTGTGTACGACCGGCGGTGTGCAACCGCAATGTATATGTCGACCGTAAAATCTGCAAATGGACACCGGTTGAGAAGTTACGAAAAATGTTGTGCACTGGATGGGATGCCTGTGCGTACTCGGAGCAATTTGATAGGGATAAGTAACCGAGCCAAAACGAAATCGACAAATGAACGGAGATTTGACACGCCAATGATACCAATGGGAGCTGTGAGGCAAGAAGCGAAGATAAACCGATAAAATGATTTAGGCGCCTGCACAGCTGCCATACGGAAAAGGCGTGTCAGGGCTGTGGGCAAGGCCGTTCTCACATTCAAGACTTTATTGCTCTCCAACGTCTCTGCTGCTAAATTCTTGGTAACGCTAGACTCTGATTTGTAGTGCGGATGAACTGACAGATGGCTTTATCAGAGGGCCTATTGTTCGTATTGTGGTCAACGATAGTTGTAGACTCGGAATACATCGATACCAGGAGCCTCACCTTTGCTCGTGCCTGACTACTTCATGGTTTCGCTCGCGGAGACATAGCCATGGCTTCTACGTCGGGATTGAATCTGAAACCATCCATAACTTTGAAGGGTCATAAACCTTCGATCAAATCTATATCCTATTTTCCAGATATCGACCAGCATCTGATCAGCGGATCTCAGGACTGAATCGCTCAGCAATGGGACCTGAAAATGGGCAAGGAAATTGAGGAAGCATGGGAGAAAGATGCATGGCCAGTGGCGGTGTCAAGGGACGGTCAATGGGTTGTGACTGGTAGTGGAGGTTGGACTGAGATTGCTGAGCTGAGAGTCTGTGAGGTTGGGACTGGGGCGGTGAAAAGATTACAAGGACACGATCGAGAAGAGATCACCTGCATCAATATCTCCGCGGACAACATATTAATGGCAAGTGGGTCAGTCAATCAAACAGCACGAATATGGAATCTGGACACCGGAGAACTCTTGCATCACGGATTTGGGGAGGACATGCTTTTTATAGATGTATTTGGCAAAGTCCAATCAAAATTTTACTGCATGATATGTCAATATATTTTACGATAATACAATACACACGCACGAGCAAAATGGCACTGATAGTCAATACACTACAAGCAAACTAAAATTCTGACGGAAATATGTAACGTTTCGCAAGTATGATTGTTCTACGACAAAGCAATACCCAAGCGTGAGCGAAAATGGCGCGAAGGGACAAGAAACTACAAGCAAACTAAAATTCTGACAGAAATATATAACTGTTTCGCAAAAATGATTGTTCTACGACAAAGCAATACCCAAGCGTAAGCAAAAATGGCGCGTAGGGACAATAAACTACAATCCTGATGGCAGGGTTGACAGAGTTAGACCAAAATTTTAGCGTGTTATTTGCGATTATGCGACAATATAAAATCTTGCACAGCCATGAGCAAGGTAGTGACAGGATAAAGACAATTCAATTCTGATATAAGTGTGTAGTACTTCCTCCATACGGTCATCATATGATAAAATAATATATAAGAAGCACTTTCAGAAGAGGATCCCTCAGACTGTTCATCAAGGTCTTCTGATATGCAAGTTAATGGGGCAACATCGTCATCCCTCGAAGGCTCCCTTGATGAAAGGTGTGACTAACAGCCGCGGAATAAGTGCGCGAGCTACCCCAAGGACCGACCTCAGGTCAGGAAGTAGGTTGAGTGCGTCTTGCAGGTGGTAAACTATTTGGTGATTGAGCGGCATCGTACCCGCTGCAACGTCCAGCAGATACTTGCTGCACGTCTCGTAGTCGGGATTGAAGTCCTTGAAGTGATGCGAGCTGCTCAGAAACACGTGTTGAGAGGGTGGTGGTGGTTGAGTCTTTGATATCGCGTAGGAGATGTTCAACACTGTTCTCCTTAGCTTCCTCAGCTTCTATTGCAGAAGGGACGTGAAGGAAAGTCTTCCACGTTTCCGTACTGTCCTGAAGTCATCAAATCAGTACGGGAATAGATTGCAAAGGAGGAAAGGCATACGTCTTTGATTTCTTCTACTGCAAAGTATGCATCCGTCGGGATTCCAACGGCCTGCGGTCGCGCATCAACGATTTCCATTACTGGTTTCGCAATGTACCGCTTTAATGAAGCTGGTGCTCGAGGGCGGATGGGTAGGCAGGGACATTGAAGGTGCTGAGGTACCTGCGGGATTGGTGCTGAAGGTTGGTACGCGTTAGTGGGGGGAAACGAGGTGCGAAGTAGCACGGACAGTAGAGAGGCTGCGAGAGTGACTGCCTGAGCGAGGACGAATGCCACGGGTGGATGGTGGAGGAGGGAGTGGGCCTTGTGGGAATGCAGCAGACCTGAGAGATGAAGGTGTGTAACGATGGTGAGATCGATGGTATGAACAAGGTGGTGGTTCTACAGTGATGCTGGGATGCTGGGATTTGTAGAGTAAGGGCCGTGGTCACGCTGGATTTGATTTGGGATTGGAGTCAATACAAGTGAGAGTAAGAGTAAGGGCTCGATACGCACAGGCACTGCAACCCGCTTCCCAGACGGCGCACTCCAGTCTCGGACAAGTAAACGCTCATCCTCCCGCAGGTTCTCCTCATCCAGCCCAACAGCCTCCCGCACCTCACCATCCTGCGTACGCGGCGGCACATTCTTGTTTGCCTGTAGACGCTCGCGCAGACGCTCATCAAATGCCATGATCAAAACGCACAGGCATCCTTCGGCTCGAATTCTTTCTCGGCGTTCAACACTAACGAAAGATCAATTGACAGGTAGCAGTGAAACACATTATCACTGACCAAGAACGGGTAGATGTCGCAAAATAACCAGTTTAAGCGGTACAAGGTTATCTGGGGTGCACCTAAGTGTCTCGTTAGCAAACATGTACCCGGTGTCGTTTGACGTACAAAAGCACTCTGTTTCCTACCTGCGCTCGAATCTCCCTGTACAGGATGTCCTCGGGTGCGAACCAGGTCGTATAACTTGGACAACTTGACGATTCCGGGGAACGCACATCGTGTTTCTATGGAGATGAACGTGAGTGAAGTCTGGACGTACGGTGAGAGGCAAGAGTGAATGCACCTTCAAAATTTTGAGAAAACCAGTAATGTTCAGCTTAGTGTACAGCGCCAAGTCGTGAACATCTGCTACGAGGGTGGCCACTTCCTCTTGAAGGCCGTGAAAGAGGTCTTCAAGCGAGGTAGCAGATTGGTTGTCATCTATATTCGTCAGTCGTCGTCGTCGTCATCGGAGCCCTCATCAGGTCCATAGTCAGAAGGGCGTGCTTGGTGTGATTCAGGGTCAGAGGGATGGACGGGAGACGGCTCAGAAGAAGATTGAGAAGGTGATTCTTGAGCGACGAGTCTTTGGACATCGTATTCAGCATCCCGTATACGACAAGATAGCTCAGCGGTCTGAAAAGCGTCAACTGGTGAACCGAATTGTGTTTTGACGCTTTACCTTTCGTTTCTGGAAACCATGAACTTTATCGAGCTCCGTTTTGAGCATAGCAGTAAAATCACAGTCTTCGGACATGGCAGTGGGTGCGCTTTCAGGTTCTTCTTCCAAGGGAGTCGTGGAGTTCTCTTCAGCAGCAAGAACAGAACGTGGAAGAAGCTGGAGCTTCTTGCGCTGTACAACGGGCTCAGGAACACCGTCATGACCATGTTCAATTAATATAGTCAGTCCTATTGGGCAGAAGTGCAGAGAATTGACAGACGTTGCCCTGATATACATCATCTGGCGCATTGAGTCAGTGATATCGATATCGGGACGAATTGAAGAAAGTTACTCCTCCGTAGCTTAGTTTTGCAGTGAGGAGGTACACCTAAAGCTTCCTAGTGAGTATGGCTCAAGCGAAAATGACCTGAAGCCAACATACCCTTGAATACCCTTAATGCTTGATTTCCGACTCGACGAACGGCTAGACTTCATGGATGCCTCGACAGCGAGTTCAGGGTTCTGGCTAAGCATGTGGGACATGTTCGAGCTTGAATTCGTCCGTGAACAGCAGCAATCGTTATAGCCGCAGCATCACGACTCATCCACATTCTGTGACGCAACTCGATGACGTCCTAAAATCACGTTGATGAACAAAAATCAAAGATATTCCAAAAAATACCACACACCTGAAGCATAAACTGCATACGAGTGCTGAGATTGTGGCTCTTTTCCAGCTCCTTCATGCGCGGGCTTTCGGCGTGTCAAGCAACTGACCAACCGTCTTCAACAGTTGGCACAAGCTCTCAATTTCCTCTTCCTTGGGGTTCTCAATGTTGCCCTCTGGCCATCATCTTTGTTGTCCCAGTCGTGAGAAGGAGAGCTGGTGCGAGACTGCGTGGATAGAGAGGATGAGGATGGGTAGGGAAGTTTTGAGAAAGAGTCACCTTCAGTTCATGCTTCAACAGGTTGTAGTTGATGTAGAAGGGTCTCCACTCATCGTAAAGGTTGGTCTGTGGTAAATATTGGCTTAGTACTCCGCTTCATCCAAACCATTCGCAAAAATGGCGCACCGTGACCTTCCTCCCAAACTTCATAATGTGCCTGACCATGACTAGGACGAGATTGGTACTTGAGAGCGTTCTACAAGTCGAGGATAAGTTCGGGCGGGGCCATCGGCATTAATCGTAGGGTGAGAGAGACTTGGGAATGTGTTTGATAGTTGGTCTGTGGTATTCGTTAGATGTGAGTCGTTATTGGCGCTGAGCGGATCGTCGTTGGCAACTTGAAGGAGCTGATCGTTGTTCAATGTTTGAACTCAGAAAAAGGCAGGACCTTACATAAATAGATTTTGCTAGAGATAATTCAACATAATTGAATCTTTCACAGCGATCGTCGAGCACGATGAGAGGAAATTCGAGTGAATCCAGAGGATGCATATACTAGTACATCAAATATACAATTTATCTAACTATCCTACCGAAAAGGGCAAGCAAACACTCTCGTTATCTTCATCGTCATCATGAGCCCACAGGATCCAGTAAGTGAAAGGAAAACTCACTGATCGCCCGCTCACCTTCTTCAGAATTATAGTCGGTTCGTTGGAAATCGCGAGAGAGTGTTGCAGGTGGTGACTGAGACCCTCGGGTGTGCCATGCAGGAAAGTGGACCCTAAGGCAGAGTATTTGAGGTACGTGGATTCTGCTAGTATCAGCGAAGTTAAACTTACCTTCCCAAGCTATGATCACAGTGCGAGGGGTTGCGTGGTGGTTGTCAATAACGTCCGTCGCAACGAGGGGACGATCGCGGGCGTCGATACGGAGAATAGAGTTGACGAGCGGGGGTAGATTAAGCAGGGGATCTCATCAGAGTAATTGTTCCAAATATCTCGTTCATATCTTCAATATATCCAAAGACGACCTGGAACGTTTACACGCCAACTTTGTTCGTGCCCTTGATGTACTCACAGGCGAGACGAGCCCACTCAAACAGGCCGTCGGATTTTTCGGTAAGTGTATTGAAGTGCGCGTCGTTGAAGTTGCGCAGTCCTGCGAGCCTCTTCGAAATGTATAATTGGATGTCATTGTGTGTGGACGCAGGCGGGATATCATCCATGGAGATATGGCGAACATGTGATGCATCTAGGGCATCGCGGATATCTTGAAGTGGACGGGAGATGATGATGATACGGGCATTTGCTGGTAGCTCAGCGGGCTGGGAGGAAGAAGTGTCTGTCTTTTGAGACAGCAAATCAAGAATGTGTTCCTGGGTATACAGCATCACCACTCTCGTCCAATGCATCAATGATTATCTGCACGGGTGCAGTGATTGCTTTCGAGGCCTCTCTCATCGGTCCTACGACTAGCTCCTGCCATTGTCTTGAGACGTCGATGGTGTGCTTCAACTCGTTGTCGTCGCGAACCGCACGCGCCAATGCTCTCCGCATGGTGATATCGCAATCAGCCAAGTCGCGTGCGATTGTGGTGAATATCTTTTCGTGGCGGCGTTCGGCTTCCCTGGTGTGGTCGAAGCAGAAACAAGCTCGCATTCCCCCACGCTCGTGAGACCAGTTGGCTATGGTATGAGCGATGGCTGATTTGCCCTTTCCTGCAGTGCCAGACAACCATAAGATGCGTGGCTCGTCTTCACCCGTGCTACGGATCCAGCACTTGATGTCAGACAGAATGTCTTCCCGAGTGCCTGGGAGACAATTCTTGGCCGTATTCCGACCAGCACCGCGCACATATTCCATGCCATTAATGTCTTGATCCTCGGCTGAATCATTGGTATCGAATTTCAGACAAGGCTCAAAGAGAACTCTAAGTTAATCGTACCGATACGGTGGACGGTTTCGGTGTTGGTAAGAGCCATTTTATCTCTGAACTGTTGTATGAGGTTGTCGAGAACCTCGTTGTGACGCTGGATCGTGGCCTCTGTTTCGTCGAAGACAGTGCTTGCGAAGTCTTCGCCCTGTAAAGAGATGCTGAGTCTTGGGGGGACACTGTCGTGGAAAAGACTCACAAAAACTCTTCATATCTGAGTAATGGACGACAACGTTGGCACACTCCAGCGTCTGCCGCGCAATCTTTTCGCATATCTCTGACATGGATGCAATTCTTGCCAAGCCCTCCCCTTCCATTAATAAAGCATAGACGTCCGAAATCTTCGAGAGCAGCTGGGACACTTCAACATCCCATGTATAGAGGGTCGCGAAGCTCGATAACACCATCGCATACATCCTGCAGGAGCATGCTCAAAGGGAAGACGATCCTGGATCCGGTGCGATGATTGGAGGCATGTTTGACAAGGTTGATGTACCGCGTGGGCCAGGGAGAGCAACTTGGGACGAGAATGGTTTGGAGCGCTTGGAGGGCCAGTGCGGGCGCGTTGGGAGTCCTTCAGTAGGCGGGCGGGAAGAAGATGTGGTCCAGAAAGGGATGCCAGAATTTAGGTCCTGGATGGTAAGACAATCTAGAAAGTGATCCCCCATGGCAAGTCCTGTGAGTCCCTGTAACACTTCCCAGAAATTCAGTACAAACGCAACTCGGTGTCTCCCAAACCAATCTTCCGCCATCCGCTCAAGTGTCGTCCTATACCAATTCGCATGCTGCTATGTCCAGCGGCAGTCAGTGCAACCTGCTTCCGGAGTCACAACAAGCTTGGCATCGGCATGCTCTTTGGGATTGTCGACAAACATTGCAGAGAACGGGGAGGAGAGAGATGCACGCGGTAAATACCTAAACACCTGGGTGTGGTATATCAGTACTCTTGCCGTCGCCATTCAAAACTTTAACACATACCCACTACTCTCTCTCTACCCACGTGTACCAGATTGCATCGCACTCCTGAGCATGGACGGGACTATATGGCAGTCGTTGGACTGGCGGGTCCAGATGAGGTCATCTAGCTGGAGGACGCTGGCAGGGCGGGTTGCAGATGCTTTTTTGGCCTTTGTGGAGGTTGCATGAGATGGCTGGACGTATGGGTGTAGGACGTGCAAATATGATGATCAGGTGCACGATTAAACGTACTCAGAAATGAATGAACGCACCTGCTCATAATTAGTGTCTGCGCTCGCATGCTCCGGCACTATGTCCTGCCAGGGAGCAAAGAACATGGGTATTCGTGATACCTCAGGTAGCAGAGAATTTGGAATGAGATTGGCGGAAAGGCCAGAAGCATTGATTAAGGTGCGAGCGAGCAGGGAATCTCCCTGCTCGGCGTTCTCGGTGACAGTCTGAACTACCCAGCCCTTTTCTGAGTCAAACTTAGAGGTCTCTTCGCTCTTGTACGGGTCTACACGGACGACCCGAGTAGAAAATACCAATTGGCCTCCTTCAGATTCTGATATATCCTTCTCCAGACTCTCCATGACAGAGTGGGAGTCGACCATGCCTGTCTCTGGACTCCATAACGCAGCAGCTATGTCCGGGGACAGGTCCGGCTCAAGTTCGCGTGCTTGCGCACCGCTTATAAGCGAGACAGGGAGCACTTGGTCTTCAGCTCCATGAGGCGGCGAGTGCTTGGGCCATGGTAGCTGTCTTGCTTTTGCGAAGAGGCTCTCAACATAGGAACACTGGTGCTCGTGTGCTACCACGAGTTTACCGGTCTTTCGGTACGGGATGTTGTATTTGTCGCACCGCTCGTACATGAGGTGCCTGTCTCGCAAACATAGCTGCGTCTTGAGTGATTCCGGAGGATAGTAAAGTCCTGAAAAGCCAACATCATCAGAAGACACGGACACAAGTGCACGTCGCAAGGGGGGCTCACCAGCATGTACAACTTCTGAGTTGCGAGAGCTACCCGGAAGCCTGAGCGATGGAAGAAGGCCAGAGAGCTGTGAAAGCATTAGCGTTATGTCAACAGTTAGTGTTTGGAGTCGATGGTTAATATTCGAAAGAAGGTGCCCCGGGACAATAACGATAAGAAGCAACAAAGAGGGTCAGGGAATTCGTCGAAGGAGAAAATTAGGGAGATTAGTTGAGATATGAAAGATTAAAATGAAATAAGAAAGGTTGGAGTGTCAAACGACTGGGGAAAGACGTGATTGGAATGAGCCGGAATTCGAATCTAGGAGTATCTGAAAAGAAAAATGAGGGCGAAAACATGAAGGGAGACAAGCGTAAAGAAATGAGCGCACGTCAATGTGGCCATTCAAAATTTCGGATAGATAGGACTGACTTTGCTTACAATTTATATCGAAGCTAGACAAACTTGAAGCTTGATGTGTGAGCATGACTGTGATGCAAGAGTCTGTCCATTCTATCGCTTTCTCAGACTCCACTGAGGAAGGTGATGCGCCTTTGGTGAGCTGATGATATGTGAGATAAGCAGAGTCGAAGACATAGTCAGAAAAGTGGACGATACTTGCCAGATCTGCAATTAAGTCAACTTCATCGTCTCCGCCTTGCATCAAGCGCTCTTCCAGGCCTGCAACAGACTTGAGGAGATCTTGAAAGACGCGATGCTCGCGCCTTTCCCTAGAAATATGATACACTGGTTAATCTGACGCCAACCAGTGGGCCCAACAGAGTCTGTGAGCCAGGCATTTAACTCGATGGTCAGTGGATCTCCACTGCTGCGGAATGTCCTGAAGAGCGCCAGTTGATGACCCTCCTCGTCGAGCAATGCTTGCGTAGAGAACTTGTTTTTGATTTGACCAGGGAAGCGGGTTCTGAGTATCATTGCCAACTGTAAAGATGAGTTTCATATTTTGAAGAGCGCAAATCATAGATGTGACGTACCATTGCGCAGATGGATGCGAGCAGGGATTCCGGGAAGGTATCATAATCATTTGGGAACAGATCCAATAACAACTCGGATTGAGCGCGGTTCACGAGGGGGTGCACAAACCATTCGTGAAGTTCTGCGGAATCGTGATCCAGCCCCGAGATTGGAGTATAGACATAGCCCATGTGGTAAGAATTGGGCTCCATGATAATAATGTTTCAAGGCAAAATAGCCTGAGGAGTGTGTCGGGGTGGGTGACGATTATTTCGATGTCCATTGAGCGTTTGATACCTGTAAGTCCCTAAGCAATTGAAGTTCAGATGAGTCGTGACTCAATTAACAAGACTTACCGTGTTATCGTTGTATGATGAGTCCATCCTGTTGGTTGTTGTTGGTCCCATTACACTTTTCCACATTTAAGATCTCCTTGATTTTGAACAAGAGAAAGCTGAAGTTTGGGTAAAAGGTCCTGTGACTCGGAATCAGTTCATGCTATCGCAACACTTTATTGCACGCACTATCACAGCAGGATCTTCCAACTTCCTCTTGACGAACAGCAGAATGCTTCCCGGGTTATTTTGAGATTTCCCGACGTGGAAATGAGCTTCAGGCGATGTTGCAACTTCTTCATTCGACAAACTGCTGTCAGTGACTGGCATAGGACTGGTTGATATTTGACGAGATCTTTACTAGGAAGTTGGAAAAGGTGGGGGTTAAGTTACTTCGTGTAGTTTTATTAGCTCAAGTAGTCCATCTTATTGGTTGTCGTTGGACCCATTACACAAAAAACTATTTTTCAAGGACACACAGATGATAGAGGCTCTTGCGTCACAGTTTCGTGCGAGGCATGAGGAGAAGGGTAGGCTCCATCTTGATCTTGGATAACGTAGTCGCGCCATGTAGTGCAGTTCAGAGAATTTGGGTTGTCGATCCTAGTGTGTGTTACAAAAGACTGCTGCTGTATGTGGAGCCCTGTTGTCGAGGATAATCAACTTGAAGGCAATGGTGATGATGATAGCAGATTGTTATCAGGGTTTCCCAGGTTGTTGACTCATCTCAATCCGAACTCTTCCGAGGGTCTTCCGAAACTCTACGGGGAGATAGCAAAACTTCCTTTTGTGGGCTGTAAAACACAAAGATACATACAATATTCAAGTTGGCGCTGGCCGACCTACTAGTTCTCGTAGTCAAGAGTATCGTACTCATCGTAGTTCAGACAAGGCTCCAAGTCCTCCGAATCATTATCTGAGTCAGACCCTGAGTCTGAGTCAGACACTTCAACATCCATGTCACAGTCTTGCAAAGAAGTTACTTCCTCTTCTTCGAAATCCTCGAAACCTTCCTCGTTCACACTGGCAGCTGTGTCAACGTTTTCTTGATTAGTACGAGTGTATATGTGCCCAACTCCTAACCCCCAGTGATACCACATGAACATATCACGGTCTATGAAACTAAGCGGCCATATCAGTGCGTGGCTATGCCAATGAAGATAATGGACACACCAATTGATATAATAAAATTTCCAGTCCAGTTTATCCTGCGAACAATTAGAAATACCCTTGCCATCTGAGTGCCGCAGGCCTTGCGAGAACTGTGGAATAAGATGGCAGCCCCGAAGAACGTCATTAGGATCGACAAAACCAAATGCATCTGGTTCTGCCATAGGAGGGAAGCAAACACGGTCCAAAGATGAGCACCTGCTCGAGCAATGGCCCATGTATTGATACCAGCGCACCCACAGGAAGTCAATTCGATATGAGCGATAGTCGATCATGCCGGGACCAATATATGTGGCATTGACATGATAGATGCCAAGCACACGAGCATAGATATATGGGTGTCTTTCGAGTTGATCGTCAGAATCGGGGTTGGTCGTGTTGCTGGCTTGGCCTAGGAGCATGACATTGCAATGCGGGGTTGATGGATTTATGACATCCTGTGCTCGGCGGACATCATACGTTGTATGGTTGAGATGCATCAGGTTGTGTCTGTACATGCAATCGGCCTTAATAAAGACATGGCCTTCCGAGTCTGAGAATGCTGGGGTGGTTCCTGGGACAGAGGTGGAACTGTTACGATCTGAAAGACTATTTTCCGCATTTAAGATCTCCTTGATTTTGAACAAGAGAAAGCGCTGAAGTTTAGGTAAAAAGTCCTGTGACTCGGAATCAGTTCATGCTATCGCAACACTTTATTGCACGCACTATCACAGCAGGATCTTCCAAGTTCCTCTGGACGAACAGCAGAATGTTTTCTGGGTTATTTTGAGATTTCCCAACGTGGAAATGAGCTTCAGGCGATGTCGCAATTTCTTCATCCAACACACTGTGTGGTGATAGCTCGTCGCGAATGTGGTGTATACGGGCCTGACGTCGTTCAATGCGGGTAATTTGTTCCACATATTCTTTTCGGTCTGTTCGATGATATCTTGCTTTTGAGGTACGATGCTCTAGCTCTCCCTACAATCCGCAAGGAATCAAGTGGATGAATGATAAGTACTAGGACATGTTTACTCACCGGTTCAGTACTATATGAGTCAGTTGTGCCAAAGTTGCGTATGCATGTTGAATAATCCCCGAGGGCATGTAACTTGTACGTTTGTAGATTAAAAGTCTTCGGTCGCCGAGTTGTTTGATGAGTTGATGTTGTTGCTACTGCCTCACCAACATGGCTTCGTGATTTCTGGCGCTGGCGACGCTCTGCTTCTCGCCTTAACTCTTGAGTGTTGAAGGCTGTACAGGTGCCCTTCTGGAATTGACGAAGCTCTTTTCCAAGTTTCACAGTGACGGTGTCAAGTAAAATAAGGGTTTCGTCTGTGTGCATGCGCAGCTTAGCAAGAGCGTGCCAATGGGTGCAGGTATAAAGCAAAGTCAAGATGTTTTTATTGTATGGCTCTGGGAGGAGGTCCTCAAATGCAGGAATGGCGCACTGATATAGCAGATATGAATCATGAAACGAGTACGAAGAATATGAAGCATTACCTGAAGAAGGTCTTCAAAGTCACGAGCCGCCGTATTCTTCATTTCAGAAGCATTTGAGCTGAATTTTCGAATAGTATCACGGCCAAAGGTCGGAGTGAGCCTGTAGCTTGAGTATTACAACAGTCAAACGATCTATATCACGATTATTTAATGAAACATACCGACGATCGAGTTCATGCACCAATGCGTCACCTGTGTGAGCAGCGCTGAGGATGCGTATCAGGTGGGTGAATAGCGCTTTCCAGACACCAAGTTCGAATTCATGCATGAGGTCTACGACCAGCATGATGAATAGATTGAAACCGAGGCATGCAAGTCTCTCCGAAAACAGCATTCTGAAAGATCATCATGATGGTCAATATGTGTGAGAAGCAAGGTAGATAGATGTATTACAGAGGTTGGCACCAATGAGTGCTCTTTCAATAGGTTTTCAACAACGTTGCTACGGACACCATACCCCTGATCATAGATATGTGAACGGGAGATGCCGACTTTCTGTTGCCGCGCGTCATCATCTACACGTGCAAGCGACTGGCGTTGTTTCATGTCGAGTGTCATGCCTAGATTCTGGACTCTGGATTTTGGAATAAGGCACCGAGGGCATGGACATCCGCCCATAGTTCGTATCGTGGCTAGCAATGCCCTGGTCATGGGGCAGGGAGGACAGATAATCAATTGAATGTTTTAAATTAAATTTTGACTCACTTTTCCGGGTAGTCAGCAGAATAGGTGAAAACCCGGGGGTAGAAGCGATGTTCAATCCCATCACAGCAATGTATCACGATTCCGTGTTTACATGCTTCTACAAATTCGTCATCCAGCAGAACCTTCCATTGTTCGTGAAATAATTCTCTGTGGCAATGTGCCATAAAGTCAGTGCCAGGGCCTTTGCCACCGAAGTGCTCTGTGGCGAAATCCTTGAAGCTATCTGGAAGCTTCAAGGCAATGTGTGTATGAGTATCACGAAGACTGGAAAGTATGTGGGTACATACATGGTTGAAGTAGGCGACGTGATTGCATAGACGACAAGAAGGCTTACACCTTCGATACTTCGACTCATTCCCGAAAAACATATAACAGGGCCAGAGTTTTGAATTACCGAAGGAGGTTAGGTGAGTTGAGTCCGACCAAAACATGAGAGCAACAATGACCCGCTCTAGCTCGCATCCAGGCTCAGGTTGGGACTCTTGAAGTTCGCGGTGCGCTTGAATGAAGGCCTCGGAGTTATATAGTTCCCCGTGAACGCGGATGGGTTTCTTCGTTGGTCCTCCATTCCAAAGCAATTCATATGGCTGATAATGAAATAGTTCGTCGTGTTTTTGATTCTTGATTTTTTCACGAATAACGGATACAAGTGATCGGTGAAAGAAATTTGCGGTCAGGTAGTCGCGAATGCCAGGGTTGTCCGTACGCTTATGAATGGGTACCTTGATATTGATCGCAGCGTTCTTCCACCCAGCACCTTCGAATGGCATAGTATGCACTCCTGTGTCTTCGGAACTAGATCCAAGTTTATGATTAATTAAGTTCCACCGCGTAGCAGATATATCTTCTGGCCGAAACTGAGCATCACCGATAATCTGCAATAATTCCCTGAAGATTTTTTGGGACTTCTGGAGACCGCCGTTCCAATACCACTTGCCCAGGAGAAATGATGATTGATTTGGATATGGATAGAAAGGGTTGGCACCAGCGTGCTGCATTGCATGAGCAGAGGTGTCGAGATCCCGACTGACTTGGTCCAACGGTGTGAGAGTGAGGTTCTCCAAAGTTATGACCTCTTCGGGGTCATGGGTCGGTAGTTTATTGCCATAATATCGACGTGAAAGTCCAAAAGTATTGGGAAGTGTGAGAAAGAATTGGAGGGTGCGTGACAGCAGTGATCCTGTATCCGAAGTGGGTGATAGATCTGGGGTGGACAACAGAGCAGCTGACTCGGCCATGTTTGGGAGCGGTGGCTGAGGAAGAATGTCTCGAAACCGTGCAGGAAGTCAGCGATTGAGGCGTCGTGGACGATGCTGAGCAAGTGACTCTTGATCGTCAACCGCGTGCGAAGGTTCCGAGGGACCACACCCGCCCTAAATGACGGTGGGGTATTCAAGTCAACCACAAGGAAGATTTTCAACATTCGATATGACACTCACGTTGCGATCAACTTCGACACCTGCCACACCTGCAACTGCAAGGTCTGATCCCAACCCTGAATTAAGTTCCGTTCCATCAATAAAAGCCTGTTCAGAACCGATGGACAGAGCCTGACTTGGAGTTGCGGTATCCAAGTCATACCAGGTTGGAGGGTGACTGTGGGCTGGCTCATCACGCTCATCTTCTTTACACGGCCTTTTCCTCGCAGTCCACACCTCCTTTGCCTTCGCTAGCGCATTCGAAAGGTATTTCTTCCTCTTTTTACACGTGCGTTGATGATTTGCATATGCATTTAGCTGAGCGAAGCTTCTTCCGCACTTGCAAATGGTCGAATATCCTGCTTGGGTCGCAAAGGAGGAGGATTCCGACGATTCGTCCATTTTCAGGTCTGAATTAACGGAAACACTTGACTCAATGGACGGTAGTCTGTTTGAATGAGTTGGATGCTTACTAGTAAATGTTGATCTGACATAGTCAGTCCACGGAACCTGCACAGAGTTTTTAATCAAAAAAATTAAATGGTGCACATGCAAAAATAGTGTTGAAAACATCATATCGGGTTCCATGAGAACTTGGATAACCCTGACGCGACGGGGTGTCACTGACTCGAGTCGCACGACTAGTGAGTGGAACCCGCTTAGAAGCTTTGATTGGGAAATATGATGGCGCACATATGTAACTGCCAAAATGATGCCCCACCATTATTTTAGCACGTTAAAAAGTATAAAAGCTCACCAGCATAAGGACGGTTTGACAGTAACCCACAAGTTTGACACAATCCGCTCACCTGATCATATGCAGTCTAGCATTGCAGCCGACAGACTTCGTGAGCGTCAGCGAGAAAATCTTGCCGCTCGAGTCAGCAACAGTACAAATGTTGTGCTCGAACTAGACAATGTGAATGGAAAAACGCTGGCTGTATGGTCTTGGTGCGTCAGCCAAATGGTCATGGCTGTTATGTAATATCTCACACATTCTTTCAGGCCAGTCAATGACGACGGAGCACGTGTCGTGCCTTCCGACCTCGTAGCATATCGAAAATCTCATCGATTCCGAGGACCGCACTGTCTATGTGCATTCATGGACGACCACAACCCAAGCGACCACCATGAGGCAGCAATAGTGATGTTAAAACGAGGACCACGTACAGGAGAGTACGTAGCCTGCTGTGCCTCGAGCAAATGTGGATATGTCGGTGAGTTCAACTTGAAGTTGCTGAAGTTGATTGAACAATTACCATCACTTCCGAATAGCTTTCATCGAACAAACATTCAGTTCACGCGAGTTGCCTGTGAAGCGTTACTCAAGACGAAGTAAGTCGCATATCCATCTTTATGGTAGCTGTTGACCATACTAACATTTCTCATAACAGACCCTGACGAGGCCAGGCCACATGATATTATGTTTCTTGATGGAGAAGGTACGGCCATGGGGCAACTTGCACGGTAGATATCAGATACTGACCTGTCCATCTATAGATATCAAACTAGAATTCATTCAGGAACATCAGCGTCAACGGAATAAAACTCAAGACGCATTCAACAGGCTTCTGAAATTAGACTCTTTCACTCAGCCGGGTCTCACAGAAGCTGAATTCCGTCAGTTTCTTACACGATGCAATGATTGTCGGCTTATCATGACAAGGAGAACATTTGAGCGTCACCATTGCACAGGAGAGGCTGGGCGAAGAGATCACAGAACAGAGGTCATTGATCTGACTCTAGCAGATGGTTAGTTAGTATAGTAATAGGTATAGCCCAACAATTGGAAAATTCTTTCACTTGCAATTCTCTCCATCTCGCAGACAACAATGAGCGCAGGTCAATAAGAATAAGAGTAACAAGAACACTAGTGCGACATACATACATTGCATATCGTATCGATTGAATCAAAAAAATACATGTAATATAGAGTCTCAAGACGAATCCGCCTCATCGTGCATTATACTGGACACATCACTATCGACGTCATCGAATATCTTCCCTGCAGGCGTCAGCCCAGACGCACGAAATACACCACGTGAAACACCAACACTGGTGTCGGCTTTTCGAAGTCTGTGACTGGTATGTTGCTCCATATGACTATAGAGTTCTTGTTCGATCAATACCCGCTTCAAGCGTCTTCGAATAAGTCTACTCTCAGCACGACGCTCCGAACGTTGGGCGTTTATGAGGGCAATAGTGAGATTACTATCACGACTTGTCTCCCAAAATGGAGGAAGACATAAAATGTCCATCTTTTTAAATTTCGTTAGTCACATCACACAAAAAAATATTATTCAAGGACATACAGATGATAGAGGCTCTTGCATCACAGTTTCGTGCGAGGCAGGAGGAGAAGGGTATATAGCATTTGGATCGTAAATAATATGGTCGCGCCATGTAGTGCAGTTCAGGGAATTTGTGTTGTCAATGACTGGCATAGTCAAGGTTGATATTTGACGAGATCTTTACTAGGTTGGAGGAGGTGGGGGTTAAGTTACTTCGTGTAGTTTTATTAGCTCAAGTAGTTGGTGACTCGGATTGTTCCGAGACTTGCCATTACCCAAACAACAAGTGAATCGCGTAGCCTACGTCCCTGTGTTCGTCAAATCACTTCCAGCACGGTTGTCAGTTAGAGCATCAAAACAGCCACCTTTTGATCCCAAGTTGTTGAGAAAGCGCACATTTGGGTTTAGTATTTGAGTCTATGAAGGTGCACCATTCGGCGCACAAATGTGCCATCAGTGATTGATGTGTCAGCGTGCAAACCCCACTAGGTTTAGGAAAGAACTCAGAAAAATAAATGAAGGATGACTGGACCATATCTCAGGGCCTCCCCCCTATGCTTGGGAACCGATCAACTACTTCGCAACTGCATTCTGAATTGAATGAAGGAATCATCGAGCCTAAAGTACACGAATTGGACACCAGGTCTGTGACTTCAGGCGCACAAATTGGATCTCAGGGCGTGAATCAGGCGCACAAATTAGATCCCCAGGGCATGAATCAGGCGCACAAATTTCATCAAGGCTTTCGTAGTTGCCGATCAATATTGATCCAGGCCAGCTGGGTGTACGAATCAGTAGATACCAGCATGCAAGAACTGGATCTATCTTACATAAATTTAATCCGCGAATAAGCCTAAGAATAATAGAGGCGTGGAAATTGAGTCCACTGCTGAATTCGAAGAGGTCACTGGATGAATCGCTGGCGTGGAAATTAGTCAAGGACTTTATCTTACATAAAATTGATTTGCAAGCAGCGTGGAAATTGAGTCCAGCTTTTATCAAATCATTTGAGACCAGCGTGCGAATCAGTTCTATGAATTTATTTACTTAATGCTTCTTGTCGGCGCGCTCAGTGGTTCATTCAATGAGGGTTCCGAGTCTATGGATTTATTTACTCAACGTTTCTCGTCAGCATGCTTAGCGGTCAATTCAATACGGATTCACGTATCTGTGCTCGTGGTCTAGGCTTACACCACCACGACCATGAGGCCAGAATTTTACTCAACTGATTGAATCTTATCACGATGAGTCCCTAATACTCCACAGCCATTATCTGAACAGAACGTCATAGAAATTATTATCGCGCGTGCGTCTTGTACATCATACAACGACAACACGGTAAGTCTTGTTAATTGAGTCACGACTCATCTGAACTTCAATTACTTAGGGACAGTTATAGGTATTAAAAGCTCAATGGACATCGAAATAATTGTCACCCACCCCGACACACTCCTCAGGCTATTTTGCCTTGAAACGTTACTATCATGGAGCCCAATGCTTACCATATAGGCTATGTCTATACTCCAACCTCTAGGCTGAATCGCGATTCCGCAGAACTTCACGAATGGTTCGGCGACACAGTATGTAATTTTGGCATTATTTGTGCTGACTGGCGGCTGACTTGACATGGTCTAATCTACTAGGTTCTCGAGTTTTCCGACATCGATAACACATACGTCAAAATTGCGTATGTGCGAGACGAGCACGATGCCATGCAGAACCCCAATTTGATGACCAGATATCCCGTCTACGTGGTATGTCAGCATCTGAATTGAGGTTGCTAACTTATTGCTCAATTTTTGGGCTGGTACAGAATGCAGATCAATATCCGACTGTCTCAGTAAGGTTTACGCCCGCTGAACGTGTAGTTTTTGCTGACTCACGCTTAATTTCATTCCAGCCAATGTCTTTGGTTGTGCCTAACGGATGGAAACAGGTGGCTGTCTACACAGACGTTGACCTTGTTGCTCGGAAGGTGCTCCAGGTATGTATTGTATGCAACATTCAAGACAATGAGCTCACATTCTAGCCAAAAGGTTGATCCAGTGAGAGGGCCTTTCTCATCACGGCAAAGCTCTATATTTGGAGAAAGCGAGCATTTTATGTCCACCTTGAGTTCTCCCAGCGAAGTACATTGGATGGCTGACACAAATTCCTTGATGCTTGGCGCTGGAGCGCCCTCTGAATCTGATGATCCAGCACCCAACGTCCGATTCACCTTTCTCCAGACAGACCCTATTGTTGTTCCAATGAACAATCCTTTGCCTACTAATCAGGAACCACTCTACGTGACTTGCTGTCCGCAAATCTTTGCACAGGGTATCAAATATGACAATGAATTCCTGAAAACTCACTTTCCGTTGGCCTACGTCTCGATCTCCGATGCCAAAATTATGGCTAGAAATCATCTTAATATCCGCCCTCACGATGTTGGCCCCTTCAGGACGTACTGTGCGCAAGCCATCACCGAGATGATGACCGTCGCCGCTAGCACCGGTCATGTGGCGGAATCAGGTAGGCATTAACTGAGTAATGTTTACCTCCATATACTTATGTTATTGCAGGGCTTCGTTGTAGCGTAACCGGCTTCACCAAACAACTGAACCTTCAATGTTCGGATGCCGTCAATCTTGTACATTTCAAATCAGGTCCATGTTGCCTCTGACTAACACTCGCGCAGGTAGCTGCTGAGCGAAAATATTTCATGAGGTCTTTGAAGAGCTATGCGATCGCCTTCGTCGACAGCCCCCAAAAAGAGCCTTTGGGGGGCTATAACATTGAGGAAATCGGCATGACGATACCTGAATACATCAAGATGCTCACCAACTTGACAAACGCGAACGACGCTGTGACTTCAATCCGGTTTACATGTGACAATCAAGGGGTAATATTTCATCTTTGAAAATGACTGATTACTGACTTTGTTCAATCAGAGGCCATATCGTCGGGTGGCTATCCTTGTATTACTTGCGCACCGTTTGTTGCGCCCCCTCGTGAACCGCGCTCAATCCGAGTCGTTATTGGATCTGTTCCCAAATGATTATGATACCTTCCCGGAATACCTGCTCGCATCCATTTGCGCAATGGTACGTCACATCTATGATTTGCGCTCTTCAAAATATGAAACTCATCTTTACAGTTGGCGATGATAATCAGAACCCGCTTCCCTGGTCAAATCCGAGACAGGTTTACTACGCAAGCATTGCTCGATGAGGAGGGTCATCAACTGGTGCTCTTCAGGACATTCCGCAACAGTGGAGATCCACTGGCCATCGAGTTAAATGCCTGGCTCACAGACTCTGTTGGGCCCACTGGCTGGCGTCATGATGTGTGAGTTTTTGTCTACCTAGTTCATCCAAGTCTGACTCTATGATATGCACAGCCAACACGCGCTCGTCTTAGCAAACAGCCTTCGAGGCCCAGGCGCAAGCTCAGGCTGACCTCACGTATACGAGTCATGCTATGTATATCAAAGTGTACTAGTACAATGCTTTGATGTGTAGATACATGTTACAAGAACATCTAGACGCTTGGGCCCCTACTATTTTTCTCCTGATCCTCCTAGTATCAGCCCTCGCGTCATACCCTTACCCCGACCTTACCCTTGTCATCCTTGCCATCCTCGCATTCCCTTTTGCTCTCTACCTGTCGCTTCAGCAGAGCCAGTACATCTGGCCGGATCCTTTCGCTGACGAAGCATACCCATGCTCCGTTTCACCACCTGACTGATCCTGTGGACAGGTCCCCTTGCCCTTACCGTCTGGACGGTAACCTATGATATGATGCATGATGCATCCCCTTTACCCTGATTACCTTTCTTGATCTCTGACTCGATGCGCAGTCGCACATGCGACTTATACTTAGATCCGCAGCCTGCACGATCGTGCCCCTGCATGTTTCACTTCTTATTTCGATCTTTGACTCACTTTCTTATCTAGCACGTTCTACCTAGACCGAACGTGCCTTCCTGTTATGGCTTATCCCTTTACGATTGCCTCTCCCGGTAGTACGAGTATCATCCACTAATACGTCTCCTGTCCTCTATATAAACTCGCTACCATGTACTATATTCCCTTAACTTGAATCTACTTGGTTCTTGACCTCCTACTCTCACCAGAGTGATCCTTCTGCCTCGCCAGCAGTCTATATTCTATCTTCTTATCTGCTCTTCGCGGATAAGCCTATAGTCTCGACCTTTACTCATCGACTTCGTCGACGAGCAAAGCCCCTGTTAACTAGTCGGACTTCTGTCCTTCTAATTAACGACGATCCTTACGATTAACCTTCGGGTGTCGTAAGCCTAGGCCGATATAGCTTATCGTCTCGCACCCGCGTGACATAAGCTACCCGATTTGGACATAGGCGTCAAATCGTACTTGCCGAAGACCCGCCAAGTACGACCCCTAACCTTGGGCTAGCCCAAGGACGTCCACAGACCGTTGACGACACAAGCTCTGTTTGAGCGTCGCCAACAGATACCATCCAAGTCGTAACAAAAGATTCAAGTTACCTTCTAGCCCTCGACACCTATCGAGGACAGAAACAGATACAAGACGACCACTCCCTGGACACGCAAGTTCTCTTGGGAGCGCGACCCGAATCAGGAAGATCCTGACGAAGAAGAGGTAGACGGACAGTTTAGCTCTCCCACCTCACCGACAGAGCAGTACCACTCAGACGAGGGACTGAACGACGAAGAAGATCTAGGAAACACTCCGACTTCTGAAGAGGACTTTCCAGACGAAGTACCTCCCCGAAAACACTAGCGCCAATCCGAAGACAAGAATGTCTAACCCATCACCTCCTCCACCGCCGTCGTAGTTCGTGCCCCTGAACTCAAAGCAGGGTCACCAACGGACTACGATGGGAACACCGACGACGCACAACGATGGCTCTACAGCTTAAAGACGTACTTCCTCATCAACCCCACCGTCTATTGCAGCGAGCAGATCATGGTCTCAGTCGCCCTGTCATTAATGACAAAGAACAGCGCTAAAGCATGGGCTGATAACTTCTATCGCGAAGCTTTCAGCACCAACCCTCCGAAATTCGGAACGTTCGCAGAATTCGAGAAAGGATTCAACCTTGCATTTCAACCCGTTGATAAGCAGGTGAATGCCCTCACCGAAATCGCCGAACTCAGAATGGGAAACAACGTTACGGACTACATCTCGAAGTTCAAAACTGTTGGCTACCATCGCCAATATCAAGGAAGGCGTGACACTCTCACACTTCTTTGAGAAAGGCCTGAACCCAAGCCTTCGCGAAGCAATCTACAGGAAGGAGACACTTCCTGACACTATCGAAAAGTGGTACACTTCTGCGGTACAGCTCGACGCTAACTACCGCAGGAGCAAGGCCGTCTCTGCCAACTCCCGCAACCAACACACCCGATACGCCCCTCGCGGTTCCAAGTACTACCCCAAGCCTAATGTCTCATCGTCCAGAGACCCTAACGCTATGGACGTAGACCGCACCCTCTCTCAGGCAGAGAAAGACGAATGCTACAAGAAGGGCCTTTGCTTCTCATGCAAAGAGCATGGCCACAGAGCCAACGATCCCAGATTCCACCCGAAGATACGACGTGGAGAGAAGAAAGATACCAAAGGAAAGACTCCGGTAACGACTGGTAGAGACCAGCGTGATGACGAAACCTCCGAAGACGACATGGAAACCAACAGGCTCCAAGGAGAAGAGGATTTTTAGAGCGGAGGACCGCAAAAGCAACGTGCGTCCCCTCCTTAGATATCCTGTGTACTCATACTGTAGGAAAAGAAAATGAATTCCGTGTCCCGGTGACACTTTTCTCTTCCACGAGTACGAAAACCGTTGCAACAACAGCCATCATCGACTCAGGGGCTGGGGGAACATTTATTTGTGACACCTTCGTAAAGAAGCACAATATCAAAACCCACCTCCTGAAGAAACCCTTCCGCATCACTACAGTAGATGGAAGCCAATCCACTGCTGGGAAGGTCACCCGATACTGCATACTCTTCGTCCGACTCGACGGACGAACTATGTGGGGAAAGTTTAACGTCACCAGACTTTCCGAACGAGACGATATCTTGCTAGGGAAACCCTGGCTATCCGCCATGAAACCGGATATCGATTGGGGACGCAACGAAATCACAATGCTCCCCACACCCAGATCCAGATACGTTGAGAATCTACTCAACAAGATTCGAAAAGGAACGGGGTAACCCCCTACCGATTCGAAGGTCTCCGACCAATGATCGAGGACGAGGAAGAGGCACCTTTCAAACCTCTCAAGTCACTCCCCCTGAGTACGGAACACGTACTCGAAAGAAATTCGACGCAAGAAGAAGAAAAAGAAGACGAAGAAGGCAAAACCTGCCAAGGAGGTACCCGCCGAAGAAAAGCATTTCGAAATGCCTCAAGAAACTGACGTCATGGAAGACGTCTGGGTAGGGAAGATCGAACCCCTACCCGAAGTCAAGGAAGTCGCGACTTACCCCTTGACTGATGACAAGATTCTTATAGAATACTCGGCCGATGGTTCTTCGGTCAGATTGATCGAGAACCTTACCTTCGACACTCCCCTAACTAGGGATGGAACCTCCAAGACGGAGACCACGAAGACAAAGAAGACTCCCCTTCGCAACATTTGGATCCTTGCTACGGCTAAGGAGGAGTACACGAAAACCAGTAACAAGGCGCAGGAATTCGCCAAGGACAAAGCTCAAGAAACGAAGAAGAAACCATTCGAAGAGCTTGTCCCCGAATACCTTCACTGACTTCGCAGATATATTCGCGAAAGATGGGCTTAACAAGCTCCCCCCATCGAGACCAGGTGTAGACCACCAGATCGAAACGAAGGAAGGTTTTATTCCAAAATCTTCCCGAGCTTACCCTGCTCTCTCCAAAAGAGACAGAAGCGGTTAAAGCGTTTCTGGATGAACATATCCAGAAAGATTTTATCCAACCATCGAAGTCGCCTCAAGCCTCTGGCTTCTTCTTTGTAGGAAAGAAGGACGGCTCCCTTCGCCCCTGTCAGGACTACCGGTACATTAACGAATGGACTATCAAGAACGCATATCCACTTCCCCTCATTCCGCCTCTCATCGCCAAACTCAAAGACGCGAAATACTTCACCAAAGTGGATGTACGTTCAGGATACAACAATATTTTGATCCACCCCGACGACAGATGGAAGGCAGCCTTCTCGACAACTTTTGGACTCTTCGAGCCAAAAGTGATGTTCTTTGGCCTCTGTAACTCGCCAGCGACGTTCCAGGCCTACATGAACCAGACGTTCAGCAAGGAGATAGATGAAGGATGGCTCATCGTCTATATGGACGACATCCTAATATTCTCTTCTGACCTTGCAGAACACCAGATGCGCACCCGTAGGGTTTTAGAGAAGCTCCGTCAGGAGCAACTCTTCCTCAAACCCGAAAAGTGCACTTTCGACTCCCAAGAGGTAGAGTACCTTGGGATGATCATCCGACCCGGACAGGTTGCCATGGACCCGGCAAAACTCAAGGGGATCAGCGAATGGCAGACTCCATCGACGGTAAAAGAAGTCAGATCCTTCCTAGGATTCTGCAATTTCTACCGTCACTTCATCTCCCATTATTCCGACCTCGCTCGCCCCCTCCTCGACCTCACAAAGAAAGACACCGTGTTTTCTTGGTCCACAGACTGCGAAGCTTCATTCCTGAAGCTAAAGCAATGTTTTACCACCGAACCTGTACTCCGGAACCCCGACCCCTCTCGCCAGTTTGCACTGGCCACAGACGCATCAGCTATTTGCGACAGGAGCAGTCCTCCTACAAACCGACTGACAACGGGTCCTACCACCCATGTGGATATCTTTCGCAGTCCCTTAACGCTGCGGAACGGAATTATCAGATCTACGACCGAGAGCTTCTTGCGGTTATCCATGCCCTGAAGGCATGGAGACACTTCCTTGAAGGCAATCCCCATCCGGTGATCGTCTTCACTGACCACAAGAACCTCCTGTATTTCCGATCCTCGCAGACGCTGACACGCTGGCAAGCCCGCTGGCAGCTCACTCTCTGCGAGTACGATCTTCAATTCCACCATGTCCCGGGCAGCAAGCTTGCTGCACCCGATGCTCTCTCCCGACGACCGGATCATGACAATTCGGATCGAGATAATGAGGACGTTGTCCTCCTCCCAGATTCACTCTTTGTTAAACTTATTGACACTGCCCTAGCGTCAAAGTTCAAAGCAGCGAACGAAGACCCTGCTGATCTCACTATAAAGACAGCAGCTGACGCCTTAAATGGCCTTTGCGCCCCCCCTATGAAGTCTGCCTTGTCAGACTGGCGCATGGACGAAGGCATCCTTTATTTCAAGGACCGAGCCTACGTTCCCCCTGACCTCCGGAAGCGTATTCTGGAGCTCCACCATGATCACCCGACTGCCGGGCACCCCGGACGTTCCAATACAGAATGGAACGTCAAGAAAAGCTATTGGTGGCCCGGCATGGGCACCTTCATCCAACAATACGTTGATGGCTGCACTATGTGCCAGCAGATGAAATCCGACACTCATCCTACCACACCTCCCCTTATGCCCATTCCCTCCACCTGTACTCGACCGTTCTCCCAAGTTTCAGTCGATCTTATCACTGATCTTCCGGAGAGCGCCGGCTATGATTCCATTATGGTCGTGGTCGACCATGGGCTTACGAAGGGGGTAATTTTCTCGCCTTGCAAGAAAACCATCACTGCAGAGGGCGTTGCTGAATTATTTTACAAAAAGGTGTTTATGCAATTTGGACTATACGACAAGATCATCTCCGATCGAGGCCCACAATTCGCCTCGAAGCTAGCAAAAGAACTCGGATGGCTCCTGGACTACCAGGTAGCCCTCTCCACTGCCTATCATCCTCAGACGGATGGGCAGACAGAACGAATGAACCAGGAGCTGGAGACATACCTTCGGATCTATTGTAGGACGACTCCTAACGATTGGGCCAAACACCTTCCCATGGCCGAATTCGTCCACAATTCCAGACGACACTCCGCTCGGAACGCATCCCCGTTCTACCTCATGATGGGTTATGAACCCAAAGGCATACCTTACGCCTTCCCTGACTCAGCTCTGCCAGCAGCAGAAGATCGAGTCAAGAAACTCGCGAAGATCCGTGAAGAAGCCCTCGCATGCCATAGCCTCGCGCAGCAACGCATGGCAGAACGCACATTCGGGCGAAAGTACCAGCCTTGGAAGGTTGGGGACAAAGTGTGGCTGTCTGCTGCGCATTTGATCACTCACTTCCCTTCAAAGAAACTCGCGCCGAAACGATACGGACCCTTTACCGTTAAACAGGTCCTTTCCCCTATCACGTTCACCCTCGAACTCCCCGCCACCTGGCGCGTCCATCCCATGTTCCATGCATCAGAATTGTCCTCCTATCAGGAGACGGACGTGCATGGCCCAAACTATACTGAACCGCCACCGGACCTGATCGATGGGGAAGAACATTACAAAATAGAAGCGATCCTCCAACACAGGGGTACTGGAACGAAACGCCGATACCTGGTCTCCTGGGTTGGTTATCCACCCTCTGAACGAACGTGGATCCCAGAGAAGGACTTGAAGTCCGCAGCGGAGATGCTCAAGGACTATAAGAAGAGACTCAAGCTGACAACAAAGCTCCTCAGTTGTTAACCAGCTACCATCATCTCCATGTCTACCACTTCGTCCAATGCCTCCTCCATCTCTCTCGGCTCCACGCCCTCCATCGTCGAACTCATCCACGAGTTCACCGTTCCTTTCACGCAGACCCCGGACTCTCAGAAGGCATTATGGGAGGCCATTATTCTCGACGCGCAGTACGCGCTTAGACTCGACAGCTTTATTGACCGTACCAAAGACACAGTTCTCTTGGAGCTTGTCAACGCGTTTCGGGCAGTTGACACTGTCGCTTTCACAACCGGACCATATGGCATCCTTCCCCATAGTCCGATCACTCGATACTCCGTCACGAAGGCCAAGAGGGCCCTCTTGAACCTTCTCGCATCCAGGAATTTCGGCGACGTAGTCGTCAAGATAGAAGAAGAGATCGCATACAACCAACCGCCTGTACAGGCAACCGTTGTCGAGCGTACTGCCAAGTGCAGTGCTCCAACTCCCCCTCCTGAACGATCCAACCTTATCCCCACCAACCTCACATCCGAAGAAATCGACAAACTGTTCGCAGAACACAAAGAAGAGCAGTACAGGATGATGACTAGCGACAAGCTCGAAGAACTCCGAGCCGCCATCATCAACGACGAGGTCGTAGCCAACGACCCATTACCTGCTCCCTATAAAGGGAAGAAGAAGCACGAAGAAGAAAAGTCGAGTAAGGAAACTTGCACACCACCTTGGAGAAAGACGAACGAAGAAGACAAACCGAGCTTGGAAGCTCGTCTTACCACTCCCCCTCCAGGGTTCACCTCTACCGATGACATACCAATATTATCTATCGGGTCACCCATCATCAGGGACGATACCCCTATCCCTGTTCCTCCACCTACACGTACCCCTCGACGAAGTCGCCGACTGAATACTGAGCGCATTCTTGCACTCGGACTACCTACCACCCGACATGTACCGGGCCAGGATCCCACCAGGCAACAGATACTTAACAACACGCACATTAGGACGACCCCACAACCCTACCAGTGCAACTTTAAGTGCAGGGTCTGCCACCAGTACGGCCACAAACAGAAACAATGCGAGCGATACTTCTGCCGCATTTGTGGACTAGACATCTCACCCCCTTCTGCCCTCGCCTTCACGGCAAGAAGATCCTTCGTCGAGGAATATCCTCAGAAACGTTCTACACTGACATGCGTCAGTTAGAGGCAGCATATGATCATGATGCTGCACGACTCGAACAAGATAGAGAAGAGAATGCTTTGGAAGCCATGGACATACTCCGTGACCTCGACTGCGACCCCTCCTGGTATGACAACATGGATAACTGAACTCGTTGATTTCAGTCCTAGAAACCGGGGTAATGTTACAAGAACATCTAGATGCTTGGGCCCCTACTATTTTTCTCCTAATCCTCCTCGTATCAGCCCTCGCATCATACCCTTACCCTGACCTTACCCTTGTCATCCTCGTCATCCTCGCATTCCCTTTCGCCCTCTACCTGTTGCTTCAGCAAAGCCAGTACATTTGGCCGGATCCTTTCGCTGATGAAGCATACCCATGCTCCATTTCACCACCTGACTGATCCTGCGGACAGTCCCCTTGCCCTTACCGTCCGGACGGTAACCAATGTTATGATGCACGACGCATCCCCTTTGCCCTGTTCCCTTTTATGATCTCTGACTCGGTGCGCAGTCGCACATGCGACTTATACTTAGATCCGCAGCTGCACGATCGTGCCCCTGCGCGTTTCACTTCTTATTTCGATCTTTGACTCACCTTCTTATCTAGCACGTTCTACCTAGACTGAACATGCCTTCCTGTTATGGCTTTATCCTTTGTCGATTGCCTCTCCCGGTAGTACGAGTATCATCCACTAATACGTCTCTTGTCCTCTATATAAACTCACTACCATGTACTATATTCCTTAACTTGAATCTACTTGGTTCTTGACCTCCTACTCTCACCAGAGTGATCCTTCTGCCTCGCCAGCAGTCTATATTCTATCTTCTTATCTGCTCTTCGCGGATAAGCCTATAGTCTTGACCTTTACTCATCGACTTCGTCGACGAGCAAAGCCCCTGTTAACTAGTTGGACTTCTGTCCTTCTAATTAACGACGATCCTTACGATTAACCTTCGGGTGTTGTAAGCCTAGGCCGATATAGCTTATCGTCTCGCACCCGCATGACATAAGTTACCCGATTTGGACATAGGCGTCAAATCGTACTTGCCAAAGATACGCCAAGTACGACCCCTAACCTTGGGCTAGCCCAAGGACGTCCACAGACCGTTGACGATACAAGCTCTGTTTGAGCATCACCAACAGATACCATCCAAGTCGTAACAATACATGCCAATACTGTTAGTGATGTTCTTCCCCTCGACTTGGAGTCCATGGAATGAAATTTGATATCGCAATCATGTGACTATTCAGACCCTGGCAAATTCCCAAACAGCACTAGTTTCAGTCAACGATCTCACTGGATTCCACCCTCTTCGAGTCCCCACTAACGTTGGTATCAGGGACCAGTGCTTGGCCGGCGTTCAACGAAAGCTTTTTTCCACACCGTGACTTCGTGGGAGTCGGGGAATATCAGGAGGGAGTGGCGCTGCGACTCGCTAACCTACAACGTAAAGACTCGCCAACCTACAACCCACGCTGCCAAGAGTCGAGCCCGAGCCCCTCGCTCCAAGCCCCTCGCTCAAAACTGCACCAAACACCGCAACCGAAGGATTTAAGTTGAGTGGTTGTCATTGCGGACTCAGACTCTACTGATTCACATCCTGTCTTGAAACCGCCTGCATCTAGAACCATGTCTGAGGATCAGCCTGACAAACGACGCAAACAAGTTGATGCCCTTCAATTAGGCCCAAGGAAAAGACCGTGAGTACCTTTAGATTTGCAGGGATAATTCGCCACTGATTCAGATTGCAATTACAATCATCAGGAGCGTGACTGATCCATTGGTACACTACGGACGTCATTTTGGACGAACGGTCCATGCTCTTTGCAATTTCCAAGCCCTCCTTACGAACGGGATTTTGCGGATGGGAGAATTGGCTGATACTCCAGAAGAAAACTTTACTGCTGAGTGTGTTCAATACCCTACTGCAGTCTTATGTCGAACATGTTTAACCAGTGTATCATATTCCTAGGGAAAGGCAGCGAGCATCGCGTCTTTCAAGAACTCCTCAAGTCTGTTGCAGGCCTGGAAGAGCGCTTGATGCAAGGCGAAGATGACGAAGTTGACTTAGTTGCAGATCTGGCAAGTATCGTCCACTTTTCTGACCATGTCTTCGACTCTGCTTATCTCACATATCATCAGCTCACCAAAGGCGCATCTGGAGCAAGGGGTGATGATACCAAAAGCCTCAAAGGTAGTGTACTCGACTGGATCACTCCAAAGGGACAGAATCTAGTCCCCCCTCTCGCTCGCAACGTGAAAATCGACCGCGGCTTTCATCATGAACGGACAGGCACTCTGCTTTGTCCTGCTGGCATTGACTGGTCAAACCCAGAGTTCGTATATCTTGATCATATCTTTCCTTGATGCAAATACTGATGGAGTGCAGGACAAAAACTAAGCTACGAAGTGGCGAGATCATCGTCACTGGAGACCAGTGGCCATTGTTTTTGTATGCCGATTACCATTACAATCCTGAAGACCCATGGAATGGTTTATTTCAAAGTGCCTTGCTGGTTTGTGTACGTATAAGCACCATCATCTCGCTTCCAAATGTCTTAACTAGTAGGATTACAGGCCTGAAAACACGTCTTTACGTCACCCAGTTCGGTGGACAGAGAACCAAAGGCGACTCGTTCAGGTAATGCTCGGATTCACGGAATGACCCAAGTTACTTTGCCCTCGGTCGCATACATCGCAATGCAGGTGCGCTAGTACTTCCATGTTATGTTCCTACTGAATGACCATCCCCACCAGGTCCGATTTGCCCTCACATCGTCACCTGTGTTTTCACACACAGACACAGTTACAGACTCGGAAAGGTTCTACAACTCTATTTTAGATGTTTTCGAAGATCCAGACGAGAAACAAGAGGTAGATGCCCTCGTCGTATGGTGGAACAGGTAATTGATAGTCTGAAAGTCATTTCTATTCTGCTGATCCTACCATTATCCAGGCAAGTCTTCCCTTCTTACTCGACTGCGCAACGCCCTCTTGCCAAGAACAGTGCGCTAGCGAGGATTCGGGAGAAGCGAGCGCGAATGAAAGAGTCTGTTCTAGTCCCTGAACGTAGTAGTGACATTGTGTAGCACATTACAATTGATTTACATGTAACTACTATAGAATTCATATCATAGCTGGGAGTATCTGTGCAACATCACCAAAGTTATGCCCAACAGTCACCGAGGTTATGCCCAGCATCAGACTGAAATGTAATAATCAATCCGATTTATTGTTATATATTTTTACCGATATGCTGCAACCAAGGTAGTCATGATGTTATGTAGCATCTTGGTCAACTATGATATCTGACTTATACCATAGATTTAGTCCAGTAGTCTCGCTCTAAATTCATCATGTTTTATTTTGCTGATAACAAGTGCAACAAGTGTGTTTTTTGGACAATACTTGTAAGAATGATATTGATTGGACACGCCATAAAAGCAGGCATCCATTAAATACATAGATAATAGAGTTTGTGATGCCCGGAATTATAAGACTTGACCTGTTTTGCCATGCAGACACCCCCTTGCAATCACTGTCATCATGGTAATGTTTGTAGGTTCTGTCAAGGCAAGTGTCCCTTGTAATACAAGATACTTTAATTCTCAATTTTGTCACAATTGCAAGGCTTGATACCACACGATCGGAATTATAAGACTTGACCCTTTTTACCATGCAGACACCCCCTTGCAATCACTATCATTGTGGTAATGTTTGTAGGTTCTGTCAAGGCAAGCGTCCCTTGTAATATAAGATATTTTAATCCTCAATTTCGTCACAATTTTAAGGCTTGATACCACATGATCATATAATATACCTTTGTAGAGCCTTTGTCAATGAAGCTCATCCCGGCATATTTGATGAGTTCTATCATCTCTGTCCTACTATATAAAACTTCACAATATGATTTATCAGTATTGCACTTAATGTAGGCATTTTACTCGTTGTAATTCTTTATATACCTATACAATTCCATTGTTGAATGTCTGATGGTCTAGTATCAACAGCCTCTGCTATAACTGTGACTGGAGAGGATTGGAAGCGCTAATCGCAACAGAGCCTGCTATTTTTGTTAGACTTGTTAAGATGCTATATTTGCGATAACTGTTCGTTCAGCCACATGAATTTTGCAAAGCGAGATATTTGCTACCACTCCAGCATAGTCAGCGTTAGAACGAGCCTGAGTATATCTGTAGGCCAGAAGCAGCACTCAATCTGTCCTGAAGGGCGTCGGAAATCTAATGCAAGAATTTGGTCGACAATGTATCAATGGGCAACGACGAAATGATGTACTGTAAAGATACTGGTGTACATTTCACCCAGTGCGATATTTATAGTCCTATCAATACATAAGTTCAAATTGAGAGTGTGAAAAATCGTCACATACCAGGTAAGAGTAGTGACTGGATGCAATTTGAGCTCGGTAGTTGTGAAGCACAACATGTCTTGGAGAGAAAGTCAGAGACCTAAGCATTGCCTCCTTTTCTGGGTGCCTCTCACTTCCCAAGAGCTGTTTATACACCTTGGAGTACGTTGGTAATCCAAAGATCATCATTCGGTCCTTTGATTCTTTGTCGATTCTATGCCTAGCATCGAGCCTCGATTTACAGTTGTTCGTCTGAATGATCTAATGAAAAGTAGACTGGATGAGACTCGAATCTTGTTGTTGATTCGTGGGAACACGTACCGAGACTGATGTGCATTAGCGATGTGGTTGCGCCCTTACAAGATGTCGAGCAGGTTGGCGCCTCAGTGTTGCTGTTTCGAGACGTCATCACTATGATGGTTACTTTCAAACCTGAACTTTTCATGACAGTCTTTCATTCGAGGTGTAGATGGTTTAGCGGGTACAACCTCTCGTGTATGGAGATGTGTGAGAACGAGTCAATCACCGTGTACACATCATGTATAAAAAGCAATTGACTCGTTCTCACTTCTGAAATTTGATAGGACCGCAGCAGTAGAGGAACTCGGATCCGGCGTGCTGCATAGGTTGTATCATGATAGACTGAAGATGCCTTCGCGATGACGCTTTACCTATTCCGCCAGGCTGGCACGACAAAAAAGATGTGGGTTGCTGTTAACTCGAAGTTCTGGTTGTTCCTGCAGGTCATCGTTCACAGGCGGGTCTACAAGGAGGTTAAGAATAAATTCGCCTCCCTTAAATGTGCCACGGTTTCCATTGTTTATTCTGAATTTCTGGTATACCTGTCAATAGTCGTCAGGTATATCCTTGACGAGATTAAGACAGTGCAGCACATATCAGAGAGGATGGACTCAGGAGATCAAATTAAGAGCTAGCCAAGTTTCATCCATGTAAGTCTCCAGACGTGCCAATCGGCGGATTGCTGAGTATAACTTTTACTGTTCCTATGGCGAGCATAAAAAAGTCAAGGAGCACGAGAAGACAGCAAATACTTCTTGTTTGTCAAAGTGTTACTCTCTAGTGATGATGAATTGAACTTGAAACTTGATGTCGCTTTCGCAGTTTACTCAAAAACGCAGAAGGAATTGTGTCCACCAGGAGCTGGCATCGTATTTCATAGAATGATCGTGGAGAAGTCGTAGGCTTGTTGATGCGTCATTCATTTGGACAGGATGCTGAAGAGGAGCTGATAAATGTTCGAGATCAACAATTTGATAAGGAATCATGGGAGTGCGTGCATAAGGCTGGACGATACGTTCAACAACTTGATGAAGGCTCTGATTTGTGGCTGCGGCAAAGAGGTATCGAGACGAAGGTAGGCTTTGATTTGTCCTTGATCGAGCAGGTGAAGTAGACAAATATTTATTGCCAATGGTGCGTATTGTAGTGAGTATACACAAAGCAAGGCTGAATCTGCAAGGTTTCGGGGTGGTCGGACTCTGTGTGCATCCGCTGCGAAGAGAGTGTTGTCCTGCTGATGGAAAACGACAAAATGATGAGCTGTCAGGTGTTTCTATTATTCAAATTGAACAGATGCCCGAGGAACCTTAACTTCGGGTTTATCCGACCGTAACTTGTAACCTTGCTTGTCACTAAATATTGGCCATGGCCAGTGATGCGACTCCTTGCAGGAAATATGTTGAACATAACATCTTGTCAGTCCCATGTCTTTTTGCGCAACATAATAGTACATTAATGACCTGTCAGGATAGGGCGTTGACATCGAGGCAGTGCTGCGCAGTAGGCTATGCAAATTCTTGCTGGAAAACCTTGCTTCTCTTTAGTTCCACAGCCTTAGCTTGTTATGGCTAAATATCGCACCCTACAACGTGCCTCTGCTGTACAAATCTGATGCCTTGGCTCGATATCACTATGCAAGTCACTTCTGTCCCGTTGACTCATCAGTGCTGCATGATATAGATGATATGTGCATGCTGTGGTTCCCCCCTTTATTATAATCCATCAGGACTTCACAGGTACTGCAGTATTTCGTGGCCTCCAGCATACGTCTTACCCTCAAGCGTCAGTTTGAATCCATTCCTCAGCCATCCATATGGCCAGTCCTCGACGTGCCACCTTCGAGTCTTCAAACTCACCAGAATCAGACTCTGATTCAGAATTTTCTTCAGTGTCATCACATAAAACTTCTTCAGCTCCAATGGAGAAATCTACTCCCGGTACCGAGCCCTTGAAAGGGATAAAATATGAGCATCAGTCGTCAGGCAACAATGATGACAACACGACAAAGAGTTTAGAATGTCTACAATCATAAGTCGTGGTGTTATATAATACATGTATGGACTTTAATTTCGCGTTTTCAGGCAAATAAAGGGAAAGTAAGTATCTGAAGCACTGATCATCTAAATGCTTGACAATGTACGTATTGTTTAGCGAGGAGTCAAACTACCCAGAACGCACCCAACACCTGGGAGAGATACACTTCGGTAGAGTACAACAAGTCATCATTACTGGTATGTGATATCGATCTCCGTTCAGCACATAATGATGATTTTCCTCATGAAGCTATTCGGGCAACTTATATCACTCTTGGTCTCCGATGGATCCCCGCTGGCTTCCATGCAGTGGTCAAGACCGACGGTGCAGAATACCAGACAAGCAATAAATCTGTGCACGTAGACCAGGCTATTGTCGAATGGCATGAGCGCATTCTTCTGTAAGTTGATCGATCTTAACCCTGTCTGTCCTGCAGGTATTGAGAAAGACTCTAGACCAGGGGAGCCATCCTCTAAAATTCGAGTCAGCATATTTGCATCATTTGAATTGGGTCCCATGCTCTGTCACGGCGAACTCCTCCGCACATTCGAGATCTCTGTTGGAGAATTATTGGATCGTAGTGAATCGTCGCACCGTCAGTGTTGTGTATCACACATAATGCCTAACAGATGCTAACGAGTATCATAGCAATAATCTTCCAGCCAAAGCAGGAGGAAGTCGTATCTGCTTGTGATTCACTGTCCATGATAGTGGAGCGGCAACTTTCTGATCAAACTGATGCCGCAGTTCTTTGCCCTCTTACTACCGTAAGTGATCGATCCTGTCTGACATTCTGATGCTGAGCGCTTGTAATGTGTAGCTTACATCTCGCAATATGGATGTGTTAGCACTAAGGACGGATGCCGGGCATCGTCTTCTCGCACGATACCACAGGACGCAGAACAGTAGAGATCTCAACCAATCCATAAAGCACTTCGAACGCGCCTTGAATCTCTGCCCCATGGACCATCCCTGCCATCCTGCAGCACTGTTCATTTTAGCCACCACAAAGTTTATTAGTTGCCAAGCTAACGGAACATACGTCGACCTCGACGTACTTATCCCTCTTTTTCAAGAAGCACTTGATTTACGTCCCATGGGTCATCCTGACCAACCTATCACCCAACTTCATTTTGCCATCTCTCTGTTGTCGCGCTTCGCAAAACGAGGATTTCAAACTGATGCCGACATGGCTGAAGAGTTACTGTGCGAAATCCTCGATGTCTGCCATGCCGACAGCCACATTTACAGAGCAGCTTTGATTGCAATCGAAACATTCGCTCTGCATTCTGCTGGAAGCATTGTTGTGAATGATCTTGAGCAGGAGCGGCCCGCCACATCCATGCTTCTGTTAGCGCCGGATCAACTTGCTGATCGAGCAAAGCGGTGTATGCAGAGAGATGTTGAACCCCATGAATTAGATGAAGTAATATCTTCTCATTATAATGCTGTGGGATACTATAACACCGGGCATGCTTGCCGATGGCAATTGCTGTGTAATCTTGCTGCCATGCTGCACGCTCGCTTCAAGCGTCGTGGCGGTGACAAGGACTTGGATCAGGCTATCGCACTTTACAAGGAAGTGCTGGCTATGTGCCCAGTCGGTCACACAGATCGGACCGTGCCATTAAACAACCTTGCAAATGGACTTTCCACGCGCTTTGAGCACCGAGGCAACGACAAAGACCTAGATCAGGCTATCACGCTTCATAGAGAAGCACTGGCTTTGCACCCAGTCGGTCACCCATATCGGTTTGCGTCATTGAACAACCTCGCGAATCGACTTTCCATCCGCTTTGAGCACCGAGGCAATGTCGAAGACTTGGATAAGGCTATCGCACTTCACAAGGAAGCGCTGGCTTTGTGCGCTGGGGTTTTCACAGATCGGTCAATGTCATTAAATAACCTTGCGAATAAACTGTCCACCCGCTTTGAGCACCAAGGCAATGCCGAAGACTTGGATCAAGCTATCGCACTTCACAGGGAATCGCTGGCTTTGCGCCCGGTCGGTCACACAGATCGGTCCATATCATTAAACAACCTTGCAAAGCAACTCTTCATCCGCTTTGAGCATAGAGGCAACGACGAAGACGTAGATCAAGCTATCGCACTTTGCAGGGAAGCGCTAGCTCTGTGTCCGGTCGGTCACACATATCGGTTCATGTCATTAAACACCCTCGCAACTCAACTCTCCACTCGCTTTAAGCACCAAGGCAACGACGAAGACTTAGATCAAGCTATCGCCATTAACAGGGAAGCACTGGCTCTCTGCCCGGTCGCTCACACAGGTCGCTCCCTGTCATTGAACAACCTCGCGACTGTGCTCTCTATCCGCTTTAAGCGCCGAGGCAGCGGCGAAGACTTGGATCAAGCTATCACACTTCATAGGGAATCGCTAGCTTTGCGCCCTGTCGGTCATATAGATCGGTCTATGTCATTGAATAACCTTGCAAATCAACTCTCCACCCGCTTTGAGCAGCAAGGCAACGACGAAGATTTGGATCAGGCGATCACACTTCATAGTGAAGCACTGGCTTTGCGCCCAGTTGGTCACGCAGATCGGTCGATGCCATTAAATGACCTCGCAAATCAACTTTCCACGCGCTTTGAGCGCCGAGGGAATGAGGAAGACTTGGATCAGGCTATTGCACTTCATAGAGAAGCGCTGGCTTTACGGCCAGTCGGTCACACAGATCGCTCCAAGTCATTAAATAATCTTGCGTCTGGACTCGTCACCCGCTTTGCGCACAAACGCAATAGAGAAGACCTCGACGAGTCACGAGAGCATCTATGCTGCGCATTGACTCTGTTGACGCAACATGATCCTCTTCAATTATTGGTTCATCAGTCGCTAGCTGCGGTTCATCTATCATTCCTTCAATCAGGGCTTGATGGCACTGGCGTGGGCGAAGATATGAACAACCTGAATGCTGCCATGTATCATTTCAAAGCAGCAGCAAATGTTGTCTCTGGAGGCTTACTGCATCGCCTGCAAGCAAGTCTGAGCTGGGCTCGTTATGCTGATAATTATTCACATGATACTCGACTGGAGGCTTATGCAACTTCTATGCAACTTCTGGACGCGCACACGTCTGTGACAGCTTCGGTATCATCTCGTCGTGATGCCATAAAGGGATCCCCATGTACCGTAATCGGTGTGCTTGCTGCATCATGTGCTCTTCACAGTGGTGACGTGCATCGTGCTGTTGAATTTTTGGAACAAGGCAGAACCGTCATCTGGACTCAGATGATACGCCTTCGCACGCCTCTTGACAGGCTCCAGACTTGCGACGATCATGCAGCGACTCTGATGAAGAGATTCAGAGACCTCAGCTCTATCCTTGATAAACCTCCTGCGAACCATTCAAAAGAGACCTCAAGAGCCGATGTAGAAGCAGAAGAAATCCGGTATAGATGTCTAGTGGGGGACTGGAATGGAACTGTAGAAGAGATCCGGAAGATCGACGGCTTCTCTCACTTCCTACTCCCCCCTATGTTCTCTGATCTTCAAGATGCAGCTCATGATGGGCCTATCATCATGCTCATCGCAGGCGCACCGTCTTGCAATGCCATTATTATCCCGCACAAGCAACCTCCGATTAACATTCAACTCCATACCGATTTATCAAAACTCACCAAATTGGTATTCGCATTCCAAAATGCAGTTGAAAAAGAGGCCGGTCCCAAAGGGAGCCAAACAGCGCTGATAAAAGCTTTGAGGGAGTTGTGGGCTGACGTCGTCTGCCCGGTGGTCGAGAATCTGGGTAGATTTGTACGACCAGGTTCCCGAATATGGTGGTGTCCGACGTGTTTTTTTCAATTTCATGCCGTTGCACGCTGCTGGCGAGTACAGGGCAGATGGAAAGTCCCTTTCGCAGCAGTATATCTCTTTATACACGCCATCTCTCACTGCGCTGATCAACGCTCGCAGAAGTCATGACAGACCCCCGTCGGCCCCCTTTGTTGCCATTGGTCAGAATCGCCCAGCCGGTGCCTTGTTCACTTTGGATGCTGTAGAGCCTGAGCTGGAATTGGTGCGGAGACTTTTGCCCCCTCCCCCAACAGTTTCCTTCTCTAAGTTAACCAGTGTTGATGCCACGAAATCGAGAGCACTGTGCGCATTACAAGACAATACTTGGCTTCATTTCGCGTGTCATGGGAAACAGAATCACGAACCCTTCGAATCGGCGTTTCTCATGCGCGACCAGCCGCTTTCGCTCCTCGACATCACTCAAATGGATCTTTCTCAGCATCAATTTGCATTTCTTTCTGCCTGTGAAACCGCAGTCGGTTCCCAGAGTACGCCCGACGAAGTGATACACCTAGCGGCAGGCCTGCAATTTGCCGGGGTTAGGAGTGTCATTGGGACATTATGGAAGGTCAACGACAGTACTGTGCAGCGCTTAGTTGAAGCATTCTACCAAAACTTTTGTGGGGATGGAAAAATGAATCCCAAACGAGCTGCCTGGGCGCTGCACCAGGCAGTCCATTCGTTGGCTTGTGACAAAGAAATACCATTGGACCAGCGCATAGTGTTCATGCATATCGGCATATGTGCGTACTTTTAGCTTGTTGATTAATTTGTTGATCTGACGAAGCATTCAGCCATGGTTACTATATAATGTACATTTCATCTTTCAGACTTCGGGACTGCGTACCACCTGCCCTGTGCACCCAATGCAGACTTCTATTTATATTCGCAATCTGTTGCCTCAAAGCTAGATGTGACCGTTTTATGCTCGTGAGTCACTGCCGTCTGCACTACTGAAGTCAACGTTTTGAAATTCTAATATCTTTAAAATAGTGCTACCAGTGTTATTATCAACATCTAGGTCTGGAAGAGGACAACGACTTCCACTCTGGTGGGAAAGGGATCGCGGAGATATCTTGTTTCCTGCTCTTGCGCTATCGTGAAGTGCAACAGTAAGTGCGTTAGATTTTGTGTCAATTATAACCTGCGCTTGAGAGTTGACTGACTCGCAGCGACTCGACTCATTCTGACATCCAAATGTATATTGCAGAGCCATTGATCATTCTTTGCGAGATATTTTGTTGTAGTGGACGCAGACGCAGGTGATTCTGAGATGGAAGATAAGATGGTTCATAATTTACAGTTTGGCCACTGGTAGTAATTCTGAGCGCGTTTATTGTGTCAATGCGAGCTCTTGATTTTACGAAGTTGATTACTTGGAGAACAGTATCATCTAGGGTGGGTACTATCATGAGCCCATAA